CGTCAGACTTCTCTCTTCTCCAACGACGTCAGCAGCCACCGACGCGTGTCCAGTGGCGGACCTAAGAATTTCGGGGAGTGGGTTCACATTTTGTGCACAAAAAAATGTTGATATTTGTATAACAATAAATTTAAAATCTTAAAGGTAAAAAAGTATCAATAAATAGCATTCTGAGATTAATATTGTGAATTATATGCAATATTTTTCAAATACTATATAAAAAATATAATATGCTCATTGTTTTAACCAAAAAAAATTAAAGAACTAAAGTAGTAATTCTAGACATTTCTTCAAATACTAAGTATATCTTAGGAATCTTTTTAAAACAATTAAACTTGTTCATACATTTCAAAAAAAAATGAACATTTTATAATTAAGTTTCATAATAAAAGGTAAATCAGTTTTCCAAATCTAAAAGAATTAAAACATAAAATTCTACACAACTATAGAATGTGTCCTCTCTTCCATTTTCAAAAAATAGCACCTAATCACATACTCCGTATAAATATACTCTCCTTGGATGCCCTTAGTCTACATATAATATCCAATTATATACTACTACTAATAAATAATTTTTTTGGAGTGGGTGCAAGTGACCCCACTGCAACCACCCTAGGTCCGCCCCTGCGCGTGTCACAATTCTCTCTTCTCCAACGACGTGAGCAACCACCGGCGCATGTCAGACTTATCTCTTCTCAAAGTTTCCAATTTCCAGCTAGTGTCCAAGCTTCCTCTTGCTTCAGCCAGAATTCATCTTGAGGAGAGATGTTAGACAATAATATTAAGTATTCCTAGTTATGGTAGAAGTTGTATTATAGTTAGTTTCCATTCTCTATTCCTAGTTGTGTTAGGAGTCTCTCCTATATATATATATATATATATATATATATATATATATATATATATATATATATTTATATACACACACACTCTATCATGTACTTCATAATTTAAGGAGCAATATTATTATTCCAATATTTCAACAGTAGCGATGGAGGGTCGCTGCCGTCTGCAAGTAGCCAGCCTCGCGCCACCACAGGTTCAATTGCCGTCGCGGTCGCAGGAGAACACGAGAGCATAGCAGGAGCAGGGCGATTGTGCACAAATTTAAGCCGCTGAGCAAATTGATACGGAAGATGAGTAGATCAAGATTTAGAAGATGAACAGATAAAGATAAGGAGGAAGAGCATATCAAGATACGAAAGTATCCTTCAAAATCTCTATATTTGTGGTGGGATTTGTATATAGCATTTTATGTACAAAAAGAACTCTAAAATCCTTTAGAATCCTTATTTGATAAAACTTTTTGGAAATCCATTGATTTTTCAATACTACTAAATTTTGATGAACATTTTAAAATCTTAATTGAATACTTTGAGATTTTAAATGATTTTTTAAAATCCAAATTGAATACTTTCATATTTTGAAGGATTCTTTAAAATCCTAATTGAATACCTACAGACTTTTAAAATACAAAAAAATCCTGTAAAGTCTAGATCGAATACACCCCCCTAAGAAATTCTAATAAAAGATATTACTTTACTACAATTTTTTTAAATAGAAAAGGCTTATAAAGAATAAATAAATAGAGTAAATTCCCAAATTAGTCCTCAATAAGTTTTAATTACCTACATAGTCCTCTATAATTGAAATTTATTCCCAAAATAGTCCTTTGTAATAAGGTATTTTCTCAAATCCGTCCTAAAAAAGTTTTAAGTATCTACGTGGTCCTCTGTAATTGGGATTTATTCCGAAGATGGTCCTTCGTAAATAATGTTACTCAAATGAGGATGAATTGGAGCATTTTTATCCGCAAAATTTAGAATTTAATTCTTAAAATAATCATTTATAATGAAGTACTTTTCCAAAATGGTTTTTCTAATTAAAGATGTGTACTTGATTTAAAATTTAAAAGATTTTTTTAAGTTTTAAAAAATTCATAAATTATTTATAATCAATGTATTTTTAAAATTTTATATTTAATAGCACAGAAATGATTGTTTCGAAAATATGCTTTAAATTTGGATGATCAAAATACTAAAATATCTCACAATTAATCCTCATTTAAGGACTGATTTGGGAAAATACCTTATTACATAGAGATAAACCAAATACATTTATAAAACTTAAAAAAAATTAAATTTCAAATCAAACACACATCTTTAATTAGAAAAACCATTTTGGAAAGCACTTCATTATAAATGATTATTTAAAGAATTGATTCTAAATTTAGCAGAGAAAAAATACCATCAATTAATCTTCATTTGAGTAACATTATTTACGAAGAACCATCTTGAGAATAAACCTCAATTATAGAGGACCACAAAGGTAATTAAAACTTATTAAGGACTGATTTGGGAAACATCTTATTACAAAGGACTATTTTGGGAATAAATCTCAATTATAGAGGATCACATACGTAGTTATAACTTATTGAGGACTAATTTGGGATAACACCTTATTACAAAGGACTATTTTGGGAATTTACTCAAATAAATATTATCTTCACCCATAAATTAATTTTATATTCGTAACCTCCTGTGATATGTTTAAACAAAGCCATTTTAATTATATTAATCAAATATTCACACCTAATAAATAAAATATTTTCCTCACCTATAAAGAAATTTCATATTTTTCTGACACATAATATGTCACCTAGTTTATGACATATAAAACGTAAAATCAATGTTTTAATATAAAATATTTGAAAAAATTAATTATGGACGAGGAATATTCATTTTTACAAGAAAACTATTCTTTCCTAATTCAATGCTTTTTATTATCTTCATTTATAGTAAAACTTTCAATTAAAGAACTAGATGCTATTTTACCTTTAAATTAATGTCATACGATATTAATTATAATATTGATGGAAAACTAAAAAATTACGTTAAAAACTAAATTAAAATATTTATAAAACAAGAGATAACTAGACTATAGTTGCTTCTAAAGTAGAAAAAAGTACTATACATAATTCCATAGTTTGAATAAATTGATTTTATGATTTGATTTTATTACTAGACAATTTGTGATTTATTGTTCTTAGATAATTTATGATATAAATTTAAATATATATTATTTTTAATTATGTATTATGATATAATATGTGAAATTATATTATAGAGTACAATTGACGAGTAATATTTATTGCACTAATATAAATTAATGTGGCGATGCGGGGTAAAAGAATCATATTTTTTTAGATGATAAAATTAGTAACCTTTTTTTTAAAAAAATTAATACAATGAAGATTAGTTATAGGATCACAATTTTTTTTAATTAAATCAGGCAAAGGAAAATCATATTTTAAAAAAATTAATTTGAGAGAAGAGAATCATATCATTACAAGGAGCTTAATCAATTTTTTCAATAATCTAAACCAATGCAGGGATCATATATTTTGCCTATCAATGACGATCCTATAATAATTGAGTTTATAAAGGAGAACAAATGTCTGTAAATCTCAAACCACAAAATAATTTTAATTTGAAGAATGTTATACCCATTATGTTATCTAGGAACATCGATCAATCATTCGAATTGTGCAATTTATATTCTACAATTCATTGTACCCAATTTTGGGTACAACCAGCCTTAAAACGAATCAATGAAACAGAGTAATCGTGCGGAAGAACTGGATTTCCACAAGGACCTTAGGTGCGATACGATGGAAGATCTGGATTGTCGCAAGTCTATGTGGAAGAGCGGCAACCCTAGGTGCAGACGGGAGAGACGATTCGGGCGCTATTCATCTAGAAGGAACTGATAAACCCTAGGTCCAACTATCATTGATGCCGACAGCGGTGAAGATGTCGATGAAGATGACGATGCTGATTGGAGTAATTTGGAGTAATGTAGGTTTAATTAGACTATAAAATTATATTTCCAAATTTGAAGAGAATGAACGGTATGTTACTTGAGAATGAACACTACGTAATTTGACAATGAGCACCACTTTGTTTGAGAATGAACACTAAGCTATTCGTAAATGATTATTATAATTGTATTGTATAAATGTGTGAAAATAAGTATTAGGTTATTTCAGAATGAGTACTACGTTATTTCAAAATGAACGCTTATATTTGTGTGAGAATGAGTACTATACTTTAGAATGAATACTACTCAAATATATTTTGCTTCTGGTACAACCGGTTGTACCATATACCTTCTCTCTGAATTGTATAATAGTACAAGGTTAAGCATTGAAAGTTGTGAAAATTAATCTTCATCGCATTTGTAGCATTAGAAAATAAAGCCTTAGAAAAGGTTTACATGCACAACGTAAATGAATTATATTCCGTATATCATTTCATACATGATTACTCTTGAAGTTTCAAAGAATATATTTTTCAATAGTTTATGTTTTGTTATGACTTATGATTATAAAAAAAATTAATGTCAAATATTGGCATTAATAATACTCCGTATTATTTTTACCAAATTGGTATTCACTTTTTTTTAAATTTATATTATTATTTCGTAAGTGAGAGTAAAAATAAAGTTGATGAAATTATTAGTTTTACCTCAACATTTTTCACAAGTGAGAGTAAAAAATATTGTATACCTCAACATTTTTCAAAATATTCTAATTTAAATAAGACTTTGAAATGTTAATTTTTAATTGTATATAGTAGAATTTTCATTAGCGAATTCTATATGTTTTATGTTGTTTGGTATTTGAAAATATTTGTCACAATGAAAAAAAACAAAAAAAAATTTCATCCCGTGCATGGCACAGGTCAAAACACTAGTATAATATATACACTCCTTTCTTCAATAGTCTAAACAAGAATGATTTTTTTTAAACGGAGAGAGTAGAAAACAAGATGTTACAAAAATATTTTATTTTTTAAATGATCAATAAAAATAAATAAACAAACATTTTCAATAAATCGTAACGGTAACAGTGAAAAAGCCAAATGGAATACGGAGTATATCTTTTGAGGCTGTATTCAAAATTGTACTACGTATATATCATTTTTAATTTTATAGTACTAATATTCATAAAAAAAATAAAATAAAAAGTTAATTCCAAATGTAGGTAGTATCTTAGGTTTCAAAAAAAAAAAAAAAAACAGAAGTGAATACTCCGTATAAAAGGACAAATATCACCCTCTCCGGGACCGGGCGGTCACATTCGATAGATTCTCCCCACATTTGTAGGAAGCCGGAATTTCCCATGGCTTCTTTTATCGCGTTCTGGCTAACACTCACGCTCGCCTTCTGCAACTCCCTTTTCGCCGCCGCCGCAGCCCACGGCGAATCTCAATCCCTTTTGTTTCGTCTGGCCGGGGTTCGCAAGGCGCGCGGGCCTTCTCCTTCTTCAACAGGGAAGACGGCGGCGGCGTCTCGGCAGTCTCTGGGGGGTTCGAAGCGATCGCCGTCTGAGTATTCGGGCAATTACAGCTCGACATTTAAGTACACGTACGCTCTCATCCTTTCCCTCCCCATAGGGACGCCGCCGCAGAACCAAAGCATGGTTCTTGACACCGGCAGCCAGCTGTCGTGGATTGACTGCAACCGGACGATGCAGACTCGGACGAACGAGTCGACTCGTCGTCGCCCCAACCCTCCCCGTCCTTTTGTCCCCTCCATGTCCTCTTCTTTCTTCCCCATTTCTTGCAGCAAGGACAACACCTGCACTCCCGAAATCCCGAGTTCCACCCTGTTCACATCCTGCGAGGGGAAAGGCCCCTGCCGCTACAGCCTTTTCTACGCGGATGGAACGCCGGGCGAGGGCAGTTTGGTCAAAGAGGTTTTCTCCCTCTCCAAATCACCGCCCGCCAACAACCCCCTTGTCACCATTGGGTGTGCCGATAATCTGAAAAACGCGGAGGGCATTTTGGGAATGAACCAAGACAATCTCTCCTTCCCTTCCCAAACGGGAGAACGCATTTTCTCTTACTGCGTCCCGCTCCGGCGCGATCTCGCCGGGAAAAATCACGACGGCGCGTTCATTCTGGGCCCCAACCCCAGCGCGTCCAATTTCAATTACACGTATCTGTTGAATTTCACGGAGTCCCAGAAGACCTTGCCCAGCCTCGATGAGTTCGCCTACACCGTCAACATGACCGGGATCAGAATCGCCGGAACTCCCCTGAAAATCAACTCAACCGCTTTCGTCCCGGACGATACCGGGAGCGGCCAGACGATGATCGACTCCGGGACGGAGTACACGTATCTGGTCGCCGATGCGTACAACACGGTCGCGAGCGAAGTCAGCGGTCGGGCCCGCGGCAAATTGACGTCCGCAAAGAGGACGATAGGCGGCCTGGAGATGTGCTTCTACGGGAGCCCGAGGGAGATCGGACGGGTGGTCGGCGACATGACGTTGGCATTCGATACCGGCGTCGAGATTCAGATCCCGGAGGAGAGGATGGCGGACGAGATGGAGAAAGGCATATCTTGCGTGGGGATCGGGTCGTCGGAGAAGCTAAATGTCGCGAGCAATATCATCGGAAACTTCCATCAGCAAAACCTCTGGGTGGAGTTTGACTTGACCAAATTCCGAGTGGGCTTCGGCCCAGAAAATTGTAGCCGCGTTCTGTAGAATTTCGTCCCGTACGTTCTAGAATTTACTCTCTATCCTCCTCCAAAAAAAACATTATTCATTCTTACATTTTGAACGTTTCAAAACAACAAAGATTCACAATATTTTTTATATAAATAAATTCTAATTATACAATTTTTATTTTTCAACTGTTACTTTGAACTTCATAAAAGTAAGATTGAGTAATGTTTTTTTCAAACGAAGAGAGTATATATATTTCTACGCTTCTTTTATGACAATAATTGTTTCATTTAATTTATTTTTTCAGAGAACATATTGTTTGCTATTCGTGTTTGTTGTATACATATCAAGGCAGACAATTTATGTAAAATATTGGCGTGTTCCTCTATGGAGTACGTATTTGGATTCAGTGGACAACACTCAACTATTTCATTTTTCGTGAGTTACATCTGCATCATGTCGATCCATTCTACATTCTGTATCATACATTTTCTTTAAGATCTTGGCGAGATACTACTTGTATATGTTAGAACGTGACATACATGTCAAATACGAGTAACAAAAAGAATAATTATATTGTAACAATAAAGTTATTGGTCCCTTCATTTCGCGTATTTGAAATTTGTAATAGGTAATAGGTTGTTTGAGATTAAGAATTACTACTACTGTCTCTAAATAGGTAAAAATAGGTAGATTTGACTACTGATAGAACTTAGGATGGGTATGAACAATTGAATTGGATAATAAGACTCTTGGGTTGAACCACATTAAAAGATTGAATCCAATCGATTAGTTAGTTCAACTCAAGAGCTTATATACCAATTATTTTACTCTTGAACTTCCGATGTGGGATGACATTCTAACAACCACAAATTAAACGAGAGTGATATTAGATATTGATACAAAATAATTTTATTAGATTTATCTTATAAAATATGTTTAAAATATTATTTTACGTAATTAATATACAATATATATTTTATTTAATTATAAAAAATTTGAAAATATTTGAGTGTAAAAAATCAATACTCAATAATTATTTAGGAAGGGAGGTAGTACCAAGTTCTCAGTATATAACCTAAACTCGAACTCCTTAATTGATAAGCTACATCATATTACCTTTTGACCAAATTAAAGGATGAGTTACTTGATTACAAAGTGTTTGTTTGTCATTATTACTCTTGACATTAAGGGTATCCCTTATAATTACGGCAACATTAAAAATGTTCACTAATTGTCAATATTTTCTTTTCATTCTTTATCGAAATTGAGAAAAAGATAGGGTAATGTAGAGACAAATTTTAAACTTAAGAAAATGGGGGTTCATTTGGCAATAATTTCAGAATGTTGAAAAGTCTATTTAACGAGAACGTTTATATTTTTAAACTTGATTTGCACCATTTAAAAATCAAAAGCTAACCCAAGTTAATTGGACACGTTGTTCTCAAGAAAGGCGCTGAGCCGCTGACTAATACTTCTTCGGTTCTTCCCTTCATTAATTTCTTTTCATTTTTTTTTTGGATTGTCAATTTTTTTTCTCATTTCCTGTTTTGACAAAAGACTTTTAATGAATGTACCATTATACTTCTATTTTTTTAATACATTATTCACTTTATTTCATCACATCTAGGGCGACACATGACAAAATTTTACATTTTTTAACTTTTCTTAATCTCCGTGTCAAATGAAATCGGAAAAACATTTTTTAAACAGAGAGAATATAAGAAATACTAGGTACTTGACATTCATGAACAATGATAGAAGCTCCAAAAAGCTAGTTGTAAGCCCGCATGTGTAGTTCAACCAAGGAGAGGCCATATCAAGTCCATTGATCTTAGGATCGAATTTTGGCAGTGGCAGTGTAGAAGTTCTATTCTTTGTATTATTAGCTCCTTGTGCATACTGAGCACGCGGCGACCTCTATAAGGACTAGATTAACATTATATTACTCGTATGATTTACTCTACACACTATTTTATCGAGTTGGAGTATGGGAGTGCCTGAGGAGTGCGTTCTACCCAAACAGTCAGAGAACAGTTGGACTTCCCGAAAACCATTATTTTTAAGCCAAGATAGTACCTCTTTGCAAGTCATGATTTCTACAATCGCTCGGTCTTGGATGCTCCGAATCAACCTGTTAAAAGCAATCCTAAAAGAGTTGTCTCCCAATAATATGTGACAACCAAAACTAATAGTACTTCTTGAGGGAAGAGTGCGACATCGAACCATCATCGTATACTCCTTGGCGACTGTAGCACTGTATCCGTTGTCCTCGTATGAGTTTGCTCCTTTGTTTGACCACCAAGAAACCGATCACTCCATGCTTTATACATGTCCATGGTGAGTGTTTGCGGAAATGGGTTGAGGAGCACTCCGATTCCGCACCACATCATTTCTGACCTTCCAAATGCTCCAGATTGTCGAGCACATTGCTTGCAAATCTCCAAGCGAGTCCACCTGGGAGCGTGCTTGTAACCAAGAAAAAAACTTAACAAAAAAAATCACGTCCTCCCCCCTTACTCGTCAATCTCCACACCGCTTGTGTAAACGGGCATTTCAATATGAGATGATCTACCGTCTCCCCGTCAATACCACACAGAGGGCACTTATCTTCAATCTCCACTCTCTTCAAATTGAGAGCTCCCATGGTGGGAAGAACTCCCCTTAATGCCCTCCAAATACAAACTTTCACTTTTGGAGCAACTTTGAGTACCCTAGAATCTGCCCCAATTTGTAAACGTAGCAACATGGGTTGCCTCTCCCATAAGCATGCGATACCCATCTTTAACTGAATAATTACCCTGCAGATTCTCCCGCCAATACCAGCAATCCTTTTTCACTTATTTTCAATTAAAATTACAACTAACGTAATTAAAGTTCAAATCAATTGATTGTAGTTTAGTAAGTAAATGCAAGGAACTATTAGCCATGTCAAAAATAATAAAAAAATTCTGAACATATCATGATGAAAATTAACAAACTCAAATTTAAGTAACAGATCGTGTGTGACAATGTGAAAAGATTTGATGTATGAAGATTTTACATCTACCCATATATTGAATATTATTTTTGAAAGGCCTAAACTGTCCTTCAAGTTATTGCGTTATGTACGATTAGTCATACAACTTTGAAAATTTCACGAATAGTCATTTAAATCATGCTAGTGTCGCGTGGTTAGTACTTCAACTTTAAAAATTTCACGAAAAGTTCTTCAAGTCACGTTAGTGTTGCGTGGTTAGTCCTTCCGTTAATTTTGTTGTTACTCCATTACATGCATTTTTTCATTTTTTTTATTATAAATATACGTGAAGAACCTTCTCTTTTTCATATAATTGAGTCATACTTTTTGTAGATTCATTTTAATTAAATTATGGTAAAAATGTACTTGGTTGACTGTAACAAGTCAAAATTTTATAGATACTTAAAGGTGGAGTGAGAATTTGTTTTATAAAATTAAACAAATAAAAGAAAAAATAACTTATTTGATTTAAAAAATTAGAGTAATTAAAGTAAGAGTAACTATTATTATTAAAAATGGACCTATATTGTTTGGTTTAATTATATGAAGAAAAAAAGGTTCCTCACATGTAATTAAAATGGAAAATAAAAATATATGGATTAACGGCAAAATTAATGGAAAGACCAACCATGCAAAGCTACCGTGACTTGAAGGATTATTCGTAGAATTTTCAAAGTTGAAGGACTGATCACGCAATGCTAACATATTTTGAAGGACTATTCGTAATTCTTCAAAGTTGAAGGACAAACCATGCGTGATGCAATAATTTGAATGACCAACAGTGAAATTTCACCTTTTGAAAGACTATCGAGTTGTGCTTTTGTGATCATAAAATTCACATTTAGGCCATGTTCTCCTCAAATTATTCTTTTTACTTACTCCGTATTATTTACTATAATTAGAATCAGATTAGATTAGAAATAGCTTTAAATATAACTAAATTCAGATCAGACCTGATTAGCCCAGAATAGAACGTATTCCAATCAGATCAGAACCATCCAGACCAGGTGAAGATAATATGGCCTTAGAATATAGATCTTCTTTCCTTAAAAAAATGTGGATCTTCTCAGATTTTTCATGATCCGACATGTAGATTCTTTTTTGTAAAATGTCAATTCTTTCATAATGTTTTTAACTAAGATCCACAAAATGAATGTTGACCCAATGATCATGTAACTCTCATTTAATATGTATTTTTGATAGATGACTATTTAGGGAATATTTCTAAATTATAAATGATCATGTTGGTAATTATTGTTTATTGAGGAGTGATTTAGAAAAGCATGATATTGGAAAGGATCGTTTTGAAATTTTACTAAAAAAACAATGATAGAAAATTGATTAAGATAGTTGTTGGGCTAGACTATGATAAAAGGCCCAACAGGATTTAGAATTGAATTACATCTAAATTAAACCTTAATCAAATCCAAGTGTAAAGAACCAAATTTAGTTCGAACAAACTGTTTATATCATACAGAGTATATCCGGAATACAAGTAACCCTTAATGACTGACTAAGGCTTCGTTCCTTTCGCCTAATCTAATTAATCTGATTTGATATGATTTTTTGAAGTTCTGATTTGATTTGATCTGATCTCATCTGATTGGATCTGTTCTGATATAAATTCTATTTAAATTTAAATTAAAATTATTATTATTATTATTATAATTATAATGGTAGTAGTAATAATAATAATAATAGAAATAATAATAATAATAATAGAAATAATAATAAAGAAATTGATCAAAAATAATCTCACCTTTCATCTATTTGCAAAAAAGCAATCATTTTCTAAAAATTTCATTAAGTAACCATTAGCATCCTAAGGAGACCCAAAACTCACAAACATGAGGAAAGGTGCAGTGGAATTATTTTCCGAGATAATGAAAAGTGTGATTCAATTTGACAATGTGCAAAAAAGTAAGATTATTTGAGATAATTTTTCCATGGTAGTGTTTGAGAACTAGAATTTATTTGAAATTTAGATTTTATTTCCAACATTTAAAATACCATAATTTCAAATTATAAATATTATTTGGAAAGTCATAGAATTTCAATTCTAGAATTTGAATTTTGAAGTCGATAAAGATACTAACAAAAATGGGTTGATATGTATGGAATTATTATTACATAAGGAGATATCACTCTTTATTTACAAACTCTAAATTAAAGAAAAATTGGACTTAAATTTGTAAATGAATGGGGGGAAGTGTGAAATTGTAGTTGAGTTAGTTTTAATTAAAAGAATTTGGTCCAAATTCAAATCCAAATTTTTAAAATTTCTAAATAAGTAATTTGGATCAAATCCAGAAATGTTGCAAAGAGTGCCAAAAGATAAAACATCTTGGCATGGAAAGGGGTATCGAGTCCAAGCTCAGGGCCGGCCCATTAGGGGGACAAAGTGTCCGTCCGGGCCGGGCCCAATAATTTTAGGGGGCACCAAAATATTTTTTTAAGCATTATATATATGTGTATGAGAAGCCCACTTAATTTAAGGCTCAGTCCATCCACCTGTGCGGTTGCGCTTGTGCCGGCATTTGCCTGTGTATGTATGCCTGTGTATGTATGCCTGTGTTTTTGGTCTAGACTGGAATCATTTCCGATTTGGACTTGGTATACCAGACTCTAAGGGAATTTACAATGGAGCGGCACAAGCGCAACCGCACAGACCCCGACGCAGCGCCGGGCCGGGCTTCCCATTATCGAAGTTCCGCCGCGGTGCTCGCCCGAAGAGCGGCACAAAGTCGTGCTGAAAACACGGTGATTTTTTGCGGCATCCCGCATCCACCATTGCAAGCAGTCTGACGCGCCAGATTTTTTTCTTCTTCCATGGTCTTCTTCTTCTTCCTAGACTCTTTTGTCTTTGAGTAATTTACTTAAATATGACTAAAATATAATGACTTTCTCAATATAGGATCATATTTTTTTATTTCCCAATGTAGGACCATTGGTCATTATCTATTAGTCATTATTCAACTAAATGTCCAACATTACTGAGACATTATTCTTCTAACTAGTCATTATTAAGTTCTATTTAGAGAATAAAAAAGTTTAAGTCCTACATTGGGAAATTACTTGTGTTTTAGTCCTATTCAGTGTAAATTTCACTTTTTCTTTTTCTTTTCTTCTTCCAATCAGGATTCTTTGCCGACTTTTTTTTCCGATCTGTTCTATTCTTGTACTTATTTTATTTTATTTTTTAATGTGACGGGAGTGGCGGGGCAGAATTTGGATCATTGTAAATGCTCTAAGTGCTAAAGAAATATAATGATGGATCTAAGACTGGCCCTAAATGCAATCAGTTCGGATTTGATCTCGAACCTAACAGTCCAGTTCAATTTATTTTTCAGTTTGAATCTAATCTTAAACAACTCTATATACGACTATAGGTTCCAATAATGCTCGTATACTACCAATTTGTTCAATGCCCCACTAGTTCTTGGAATCAGATTAGACTAGATCTGATTAGGAACAATGGTAAATATAACTACGATCAAACTAGATCAGATCAGACTTTAACATTTAAATGATTATCAATTAGATTAGGTGAAGAGAACAAGCTTAATGAAACATTAACATTGCCAGAAAACAAATCACCAAACTCAAAATGAATCAAATAAACAAATTAATGACGTTTGAGTTTACAAAACTTAAAAGAATTACGGAGTATTATTTTCATGGAAAATTCTATGTGGTTTTTGAATTCATGCTTATTTTATGGGTCTAAGTGCATAAAATAGTTATTTATTTGTTGTGGGCCTTGTTAAAAGATGGAGATCTAACTATAATTTCATATCTAACTGAGTATAATTTAATGAAAAATATGTGAGAAGGTCCGAAATTTATATGTGAAACTTAGGACCACAATAAAATAACTCTGGATTATATATTTTGAAGGACGTGTAAAATTTAATGTCTTTTAAATTTATTTTATATACAAATTGGTGTAAAAATAAAAAAATATCTTATATATTACTCCCTCCGTTCCATAAACCCTTCCCCTTTCGTTTTTTTTCAATTCCCTAAAACACTTCTACTTTCTACTCCGTATTAAAAAACCACTTTTACCCCTACTTTTTCATACCCTACCTATCACATCATACTTTTTCACTAACAACCAAACTATCACATCTTACTTTTACCCATTACATCAGGGGCAAAATTGGAAAGTTAATCAAAATTACACTTTCCTTATTTTTGCTCAAAGTCAAAATGAGAAGGGTTTAAAGGAACGGAGGGAGTATAAATAAGTTTCTTGTGTCATTTATCCTCGAACTCTTTAAAAGAGGAGTACATGTTTTCCTTTCGAACTTTCTAAAGTACTTCCTCCGTCTCAAAAGATTTCCCCCTTTTATTTTTTTGTTATCCCCAAAAAATGTTCTTTTATCTATTAAAAAATTACTTTTACTACTTACTTTTTCATACCCTACCTATCATATCATATCTTTTTACTAATAATCTATCCATCACATCTTACTTTACCCATCACATCAAGGGTATTTTTGAAAAGTCAATACAAAAATACTCCTCCCTTAATTTCTTACAATGTCAATAAGGGAAACTCTTTCAGGGACAGAGGAAATATATTATTAGCCCTAAAAAAGAAATAATTAGGGAAGAGAAGAAAGATGAAGAAAGAGAGAGAGAGATGACGTGCAAGTAACCTAGAAACCTACTAAATCTTATTGATTAATGTTTTGATCAAGTTAAGGTATTTTAAGGGGATGAGATAAAATTTATGAACAAAAATGAAAAAACACCGTTCAAATGAGCACTTGATTCATACCATGCACATTACACATGCATTACAAAAATTGACCCAGCCTATTTTTTAATAATCCAAAACCCGGTCTATAAACATTAGATTTGAATGACCAAATTCGCAAATGACTGTACCCAAAATAACTCATTAAAAATGCACCAAACTCTACTGCACTCGAACTCAATCTTACCAAACCGTTCAAGTAAGGTGCTTTCAAAATCATGTATTTTAATACTCTTTCCGTTTGCGAAAACACTTTCTCTTTCGTTTTTTTCTTTTGACAAAACACTTCCATTTTTATTAAAATTACTTTTACGACTACTAATTCTTACCTTACCTATCACATCATACTTTTTCACTAATAATTCATCCATCACACCAAAAACAAAATTAGAAAGTCACCTACAAATATAACCTCCTTATTTATCCCATTAATCAAAATAAGAGCCATTTTGGTGAACAAAAGGAGTATATAAAATATAATGTGATAAAAAAATGTTATACTATCATTTTGAATAAAATATATAGCAACGACTTAATTAGATATATTAGTCATTTTTTACAAAAATGGAAGTGTTTTGGGGAAAACGAAAAAAATGAAAGGGAAACTGTTTTATGAAATGGATGGAGTACAAAAATAAGAAAGTGGATAAAATCAATAGGATGATCTTAAAAGAAAGTGGATAAAAAGAGAGAGGTAGTATATACCTCATCCGTTCCTGAAAGGGTTTCCCTTATTGATTTTTTGAGAAATTTATGGGCAAGATATTTTGGTATACTTTTTGAAAATATCCATTATGTGATGGGTAAAAGTAAGATCTGATGGATAGATTATTAGGAAAAATGTATGATGTGATATATAGGGTATAAAAATATAAAGGGTAAAAGTGGTTTTTTAATAGATAATAGAACATCTTTTGGGACAACAAAAAATAAAAGGAGAAGATCTTTTAGGGACGGAGGAATTAATATTCTTAATTTTATGATATAGAGCACATTAAGTAATTTTACTCGTAATCTCAGTTGATTTCTACCGCCTGGGCAGCCACCGGCAGTTGATTTCTACCGACGCGGCTGCCACCGCAATGATGAGGAGGCGCCAATACGTGCAGCAGCAGTTTCAACCACGTCGGCGGTGCCGGAGCCACACACCACCGCATACCTCCGCAGCCAAAATCCCTTAGCTGCAGGCGGCGTTGGCGGCGGCTTCTTCTTGTTATTCTTCCTCCTTCCATGATCATCACTGGTCTCCCCGGCGGAGTTGCGGTTGGTAGCTTGTATGTAGTGGTCAAGGAGGCGCGATATGGTCTGAACCTCATACCTATCAAACAGATCAGAGGCGTAACCATGGCTAGGACTAGGAATAATGCTTAATAATGATGATGGCATTATTATGGATATTTATTTTCTCCTCTCTCGAGGATTGATATGTAGTTGTGTGTCTATAAATATATATATATATATATATATATATATATATATATATATATATATATATATATATATATATATATATATATGAAATATTTGCACTAAATAGCACTAAAACTTAAGTCACTATGTGACATCTTGTTATGTAAAACTTTTTTTAATGCATTTTNATTTGTCCAAAAAAAAAAAGAACAATTATAGAGGGGAGGGGAGTAATGAATGGATGGATGAAGGTGGCAAAGCTAAGTTTAATTTGTCTGTGAGTTAACGAAGACCCCATGGTGCCACCCAACGATCTAACATACATACGGAGCATATATAACATTACCCTTCAATTCAAGATATAATCACGGGCCCATGCAATCGATCAATAACCCTTCGCGAACATTATACTCCATCCCTCCCATCGTAAAAAATTACACGTATTTTTTTTTTTTAAAGAAAACATGAATGTGTGTGATACACACACACAAATATATACTCCATCCGTCCCATAAAGTGTTACTCATTTTGACTAAAGTAGAAATTAAGAGAGGGATAATTTTGTGTTGACTTTCCAAAAATACCCTTGATGTGATGGGTAAAAGTAGGATGTGATGTGTAGATTATTAGGAAAAAGGTATGATGTGATAGGTAGGGTTTGAAAAAGTAAGGGGTAAAAGTGGTTTTTTAATAGAAATGGGTAGGAGATTGTGGGACACAATTTTTTTGAAAGGTGTAAATCTTTTTGGGACGGAGGGAGTATATATATACACACACACACACACACACACATATATATATAATACATTTATACTTCCTTCTTCCTAAAAAGATGTTCTTGTTTTGACTTTTAGAAAATTTAAGGGATGAATATTTTTGTAATGACTTTTCAAAAATATCATTGATGTAATGGGTAAAAGTAAAATATGATGTGTAGATTATTGGTAAAAAAGTATGATGTGATAGATAGGTTAAAAATTAGTATGGATAAAAGTAGCTAGGTTTTTAATAAAAATGAGAATGATTTTGTGGGACAAGTAAAATAAGAAATTAAAGTGGAAGGAGTTTTAATAAAAAAGAAATTAAAGTGGAGGGAGAAATATTCAAAAAAATAAAATAAATAAAGTTTAATAATGTGTGAAAATGGATTTAATATATAAACACCGGGGCACTTTCCCCCAATCATATTTCAAGTAAAATTAATTAGTATTATAAATTACTCTAAAAAATAAACATGCCCCCGCTAAAAAAAATTATTTGCTCCCTTTTGTTATTTTAAATCTTTAGAAGAAAATTAGTTTTTGTAATATATTTATGTTTAATTTCTAAATTCAATTTTTTTTTAGTTATTTACTTCCTCCGCCCAAATTAAGTTGTTTGTTTATTGTTCACATGCATAGTCCAATTTCATTCATTTTTTCCCTATTTTCGTTACTCATTTGATAAAATAATAGTCATTTTTTCACCTCTTGTTTCGTAGAGTTTTTGATGTAGTTTACCAATATGTAAGGTTTTTTTAATCCCGTCCCAATTTTCTAATAAGTGGCATTGAAAATAACTGCAGTCAAATATTGTAAACTGAAATAAGCGATTTAAATTATGACGGAGGGAGTATAAAATTGTGCACAGTAATATTGAAATTAAATTTTACACTTTTTATCATTTTATATTGTCTTTCAAACGGAGAAATATGTCAGTTCATTATATATACTTTGTAGTTTTGTATACTATTCCCTTCATCTAATATTTTTTTTCCCATTTGATTTTATAATGTGGAATTTTTATACTTTATCTGCCCTAAAATTATCTTCTCAGTTACTAGTCACATAATCGAACTTTATTCACAATCTTTTTTTATTTTCATTAGTCGGTTGATAAAATAATATATAATGCCGCTTCTAATTTTGTAGAACTTTTGATGTAATTTTTAAAAATATAAATTTTATTTTGGAATTTATATATAATCAAATAAATTGAATTTAAAAAAAGTTAATCAAAGCTCGTAAACTAAAAAAGAAAGTAATTTTAGGACGAATGAAGTAATGCAAAATTTGGCCTCGTTTGGGATCAGTGTTAGATGTTAGCATTAGCATTTTTGAAAAGACTATCCAAAGTAACCTTTATCGTTACATTTTCAAAATTAATCTGCACCGCTAATCAAAAATATTGTTCCCAAGCAAGGTCCTTGTCTGATTGTGGTTTGTGTAAAAGAAAAAAAAGTTATGGCTGTTAGTTCCATGGTGTTGGCTAATCTTTTGGAAAAATAGAATCCCATATTTGTTAGGTGTTTTAATAGGTAGAAATTTCTATTTGTTAAGAAAGGTTTATTTTATTTAGAGTTCTAGAGTTGCGACAGTTTTTGAGGTTAACATAGAAGATGCTACAGCACGATGCTGCAACGCACTGTTCAGGATCAGAAGTCTGAGCACTGGATTTTAAGCTGCAATCTGAATCAGAGACCTATTGGGATTGTGACTACATGATAATAACTTCAGCTCTGCGTGTTAAGGAATCCCAACTCTTTAGGCTACTTGGGGATCAAGATTAAGGAAGCTGTATTCAAGTCAACTTCTACTAACCTATCCCTACTAGGATTGGGTTTCGACTGGCCTACAAAAATGCAGCAGGTCCCTGGGAATTACTAGGAGCGATCGAGAGGGAAAACAAAGATTATACGCTAATGTAGAGCGTTCCCATTGCGTCCCGGAGCTTCCCATGCGTGAAGAAGGTTACGATCTACATGAAGGAGGAGATCTTCAACGCCAAATATATCGTGACATCCAGGAGATGAACTAGAGCTGAACGAGCGGGCTGCCAATACGTTTGTCCTCGTGATCTCGGTGGAGATGTAATAGCCAAAGCTTATCTGGACAGGGTACGTGTTAGAAATCCTAGATTAGAAGTTTTGTCAAAACAATTCGGAGAAGTGTGTCTCATAGTCATGTTGCTATGTACCGGCGTAACTTGCATCTAGTGATTTAGTGGAGAGATATTACACGGACGTGAGCCCCAGGCGTAGGTGAGTTCTCTGAACTGCGTAAACATATCTGGTGTTATTTTTCACGCATTTTATAGTTACGGCATTCTGTCCAGTATGCGTTGTAACACCCTCTGCATCATCTGCTTCTGTGTGTGCTTGTGACGGATAAAGTGTTGTAGCACACTGTCGGTCATAGTTGATTGATTTGTTTGCATAGTTCTTAATTGGTGATTTCTGCTGTGCCCCACGAACTTACAATGGCAATATAACTTGTTTCTTTAAAAATAGGTGGAAGAAATTTTGGAGCAATCCAAATTGCAAAGTAAGAAAATAGTTACTACGTACGGTCATCGTCATTTAAATGACTACGGTGGTTCCAATGTTCACTGTAATTCCAGTGTCACCACAATGCATCTAATTAATGTCCATTAGTTTGTCTTCAAGACATTGTCACGATTTCGATGTCCAGTGACACTTACCCATACCCAAATTCGGATGGTCAATGTCCACAATGTTCATTGTCCTTGTATTCATGAAGAAGAAGAAAAATATCCACTGTGTTGTTTGAATAATTGAAATTATTGAAACTTATAGATTGAAAAATGATATTAACATAATATCCATTAGGTAAAGAAGGCATTGGTCATTTAAAAAAATGCTTTGTAGAGTATATATTTATTCAAAATGTTTTTTAAAATAAAAATAAAATAAATTTTAGAAAATTAAACTTGTTTATCTGTCTTCCTTCTGCTGATGAGTTCCCCTTCAATGCGATTAATTTCGTCTTTCAGCTGTTGTAGATCTGCTCTTCTGGTCTGATCAGTGATCTGTTGGGATTTGCCATCACCACTGCCACCACCAATTACTAGGCCTAACAGACACTTCAAGCATGATAGGTACTCAGCTTTGACTTGATGAGGAACTTGAGCAGCCAGTGATTTTTCTGTCTCATACTGCAAAAGCCCAAATCATTTGTTCAAGCAATGCACAATTGGGCATGATGATTGATGATGGATGATGATGATGATGATGATGATGATGATGGTGAAAAGCAACCAAGTGAAAAATCATCTCAACAAAAAAACTCTTCAGCCATTATTAGTGCTTCTATCATGAATGAAATGAGCTAAAAACGTTGTGGTCAAGCGGCATAACCTTGGCTCTCTCAAGTGGGAGATTCAAGGATTGAATCTTGACCCATTGTGTTCAGTTAGTTGAGAAAGTATGTATGTACAGATACTACTTTAAAAAATCATAAATAAAATGAAACATTATCAACAACAATGAATGGAGTAAAATCCAGATGTACGCGACCTTACCCCGGCAATAAAAAACAGAGGCTGTTTCAAGATGAAACATTATCATGGGACTAAATCAAACAATCATACTTTGATTTCTAATTAAGTTTCTTCTTTAATTGTCACACATACCTCCCTGAAAGCAGAAATGCATTGGCGAAGAGCACTCTCAGCTTCATTGTTGACAAGACAATCCGCCTGTTTCAGATGACAGCAGATTTTGGTAGAAATTACTACATGAACAACTACCACATAATTGGTACCTTAATCACTTCATATTGCAACAGAAAGGGCAAAAAAGGGTGTCTATAAGAGAACCTTCGAATTCTCAAGTTCTGCCTTTGCCACCTCCAACAGAGCATGAGCATTAAGTGATTGCAACTGCAGGAACATCGAACCAGAATTTAGAATTGCAACGGGACAATTAATTTGGTTATATGAAAACAAAGAAACAACCAGAGATTAAAAATAATGTTTCGGCTGACATGAAAAGAGGGATACTGTGTAAACTTGATTTCTTCACTATGCCTTTCTTCATCCCTCTTAGGGAGGTCGCTGTTTGTTCCCAGGACAAGAATAAGTACATTGGCAGTTCTAAGAAAGGAAATGCGAGTATGCTCATTTGGAGCAAACCAATCAAACTTAAGGGTCCGTTTGGACCACGGGAAATGCTAGGGCAAGAAACCATGAAGGAAACTGTAAGAAAAATTTGGGAGGAAAGAAAACGTTGAGTAAAATACTCCCTCAGTTCCTAAAAAAGTGTCAACTTTTCAACTTTTTTACGGAGTATGTCACAAAATACTTGTCAAATCCACTTTGGAATTGCTCCATTTTACTATTATAGACAACCTAGAAATTGATTATTGCATCTTCCAACAAACGATAACCAATGAAAAAACCTTGATGATGATTACCAACAATAAATGTACAAAGTTCCACCAGAAATATTAATGAGAGACACAATAAATAAATGATGTTTTCTAACTTTTTCTGTTCTTTCAATTTTTGACTTTTTTCAAGGACAGATGGAGTAAAACATCAGTTTATACTCTATAGTCTATACCAAAAAAACTTTTATTGAAATTTGTTCCAATTCATTTTTTTCTTTATTTAAATTATATAAATACTGGGAAATCTGAACATAAAGAAATAACTTTTTTAAAATAATCATATTTCATTTTTCTCTGCATTTTCAGAGGTAAAACCAAGCATATGAAAATACATTTCCTTGACGTTTTCTTTCCTTTCCCTAAGATTTTCCGGGATGCAAGCATAGCCTAAAGAACTTACTATGTATGAAGCAAACATTTCCACTATTCCTTTAAGGCATCTTCTTTAACTAATATTTCCCTCTCCATTCTTGATACACTTCACTAGTCCTTAATTTGTATGCGCTCATTTCTTTGAATGAATTCCATTGATTGAATCAAAATGAAATTTATGCCATCAATCAGTTCTTTTTCGTTGAAGGCTTCTCTCAGAGAAGGTAAGCAGAACAATAAGCAAAAAGAAAAAAAGTGAATGTAATACAAGTTGATAAAATGAATTTAGGATGAGGTAAGGAAAACTGGATTGAGCCATAAGACACTTGGGTTGAACCACATTAAAAGATTGAGTCCAATCGATTACTTAGTTCAACTCAAGAGGATATATATCGATTACTTTTCTATTCAACTTTTGATGTGGGATAGACTCTAACACTCCCCCTCAAATGGACGACCGGGCCATTTTGAATCTAACCAGTTGACCACTTGCAAATGGACTCCCACCCCCTAGATTTTGTTTTGAGAGCCAACACCTAAATGACCACGAGCCACTGGTATGGACTTCTAGACGAGCAATCGGGTTAAACAGGCCACATGTCGTTGGATATACATTCCACATGGACAATTGGGCTAAAGACTGGGGCCGCTAGGAATGAACGTCTAGACGGACACATTAACAAATGAGGTGGGCTAAAACTGGCTCTGATACCATCATAAAATTTTAGATGGGGTAAGGATAACTGGATTGGGCCATAAGACACTTGGGCTGAACCACATTAAAAGATTGAATCCAATTGATTACCTAGTTCAACTCAAGAGCATATATATCGATTACTTTTCTAGTCAACTTCCAATGTGGGATAGACTCTAACATAGAACAATAAATTTCCGCTCGATCTAGAAGAAATAAACAAAAAAAACAAGTTCTCAACATTTTCAGCATGTTGATGTGATTTCTAGCACAGCTTGAGAGAGAAATGTTCATGAAATCTTCAAAGGGACAATGTATTGAAGTTTTTTTCCCTTTTTTCAATAGAGGAAATACTGAAACATGTAAACTGACCAGGACCATTAGCGCAAACTGCCGATCTCTTCCAGTTTGCCTGGGAACTCTAGAAGGCGTCTTCTGTCCTTTCTCTTTAATTGTTTGAGATAGATATTTCCGAGCTACCCTATGACCAAAAGTAATATGGATAAAAAAATAGGCAGAAAACAAGAAGAAATTGATAAGATTATTACTTGTGTATCAAGCAGTTTCCTGGATATGGTTAATCACTTAATCACAAAGAAATAATTACATCCTATTTTCAAAACTCAAGCAAAATTATATAAATGCACCATTTGAAAATGATACAATAGATGATTAGCTAGAATGTCTAACAAGAATTTCTTTGCACAAACTGCATTGAAGAAAAAATATCCATTCCAAAAGTAGATGTTATATATTAAGATATCACAAAGCATAAATGTGCTATCATTGGATATTTGAATTATATACATAGAGAATAACACTCAACTTAATGCCTATCTCAATCTCAATCATATCGGGTGCATAGAGAGATAAATTCATAGATGTAAGCTATAAGTTGACATATCCTAAATCCCCACAACCCCACAGTCCACAGAGCTCTAAGAAATTGTTTTAATGCACCGCTCTGCATAATTCCATACTCTCTATCTATAAACAGCATTCTCTTCCATCCATCATTAATATGAAGTATATCTTGAAAGATATAGTTCATGAAAATTGACCCAGAGAAACATTCAATCTATTCTAGATGACAGGGGTTGTTGGGTAGGACAGTTTTGAGGGACAGAGTGACACTCATAGTAACTGTTATCATGTGTTTCATCAAAAAAAATTTGTAAATACATAGTGTGGTCACGAATTTGACTTTCAAATTTAAATTTCTATAAACTATGATACAAGTTAAACAAAACAAAACATACAGAAGGTAATACGGATGTACCTAATCGATGTGCTTAAAAGATCCTTTGCCATATCAAGCTCAGTGGTTGCTTGAAGAACATTTTTCATCCTTAGTTTGTTGGAGCTGAGCATTTTCAGTCTAGCAATATGAAGCAAATTGCATGCAATCTATTAAAAAGCACTACATAAGATTAACCTGTCAAATTTTACAATCTAAAGTGGAAATGTTTACCGCGAAAAGTCCAAAACTGCTGTAAATGATCAAACTAATTGGGCATGTTTACATTATCAATTAAATACACTTTCTTGTATTCCAAGATATGCTTGTATGACTAAACATATATAACATGACCAACAACAACAAACCCAGTAAAATCCCACACCACTGCAATCTGGGGAGGGTGTGTGACTGCGTGTACGGCTGTACGCAAAGTTTAACCCTACTTGGAAGTAGAGAGGTTGTTTCCAAGAGACCCCCGGCTCAACACAGCATCACAGACAGAGTAAACACAGTAGCATAAAGCCACAAACAAAGTAAGAGCACAGAGACAAGTACTGAAGTACACATATCGGCACACACAACGAGACCCAAAACACCGACACTAGCAACGAGACCCAAAACACTGAGAACACAGAAAGCACACATGTCCTTGGTGAGGTCCTGAAGTAAAACATAACAAGACCACCCTAGAAAATCAGGAGCATGTACACTTAACTATGGTCCATAGATTTAATGTGTCTGACCACACAAACTGATTTCACATCACTAATAACTCAAAAGTTATATTCTGACACTTAATTCAGAGACTAAATCAATTACTATATAATTGGGAGATCAAACCTTTAAATGTCTCTTTATTATGCTTTGGCCATCCATCTGACCAATTAGATTCAAGTTTATATCTTAATTGGTTTCTGAAGCAGTTTTGATGATCTATTTAACTAAGCATCGACTTTTGGCTATTTTCTCTAGTTTAAAATTTCACAAACCTCAATGTGATCTTCAGAGAGTAGAGTTTTCCGAGAATTAAGACACCTGCACCGGATGTTTAAAGCAAATTAAACTAAGTAGGAAGTGCAGAAAACTCTAACCCGTCAAAAATTAACTTAAATGCTCAGATCACCTTTCTAGAAGCTGTTGAGCATCTGTTAAGTTCCCCAGATTCTGAAGGGATAAAGCAAGGTGTTCTGCGGCAGCTATGGTGTCTAGAGATCCCCATCCCTGACCATCAACAAACAATGGAAGGATTTTAATAACAGTGAGGTTATTTAGCAATAGCACAGAAAGGAACAAGAAATCATCAGTTGAAAGTCCATACTGCTAATCTAACAACTTTAGACATAAAAGTGCACATTTAATAGATACAGGAAATATCATCAGAAATGATAACAGCTCTGGATGATTAGAGCAGAACTATGTATTTAAAATCACCGCAACCATCATCATCGTCACTATCAGCATCTTACACCCATAATTAGGGTCGGTGACATTAAATTTATAGTGCAAAATAATTGAACTAAAAAAAATTAACAGTTATATCATGAAAAATACAGTCGCAATGTTTTATGCAACCTTCATAAGAATTAAGAAGGCATACTCAGATGAAAATTCTACAGCCGTCATCATCATAAGTTAATTCCGCATGCATGGAAAATAACATAAATAGTGATGATTTGATAATTTTACTTTTGCCTCATGTCCATAAAATGATTGATATTTACACGACCAACATGCAAATCATGGGTCATGACATAAATTACATCAACCCAATTTTTTTATTAAATTAGCTTTGCGTTCCTGCCAATGCTATACTCAGCCAAACCAATTTTAGATTGGTTACATTGCAGGCCTGATAAAGCCTCAATAGCTTTGTCAAAAGTTATTTGGTGTAGTGGTTTTATCTTGTCAGCAAATTGGACATACCAAAAAAAAGTAGAAATGTAATAGGAAAAACATGCATACATGCATTAACTAATCTGATAGGGGACCCAAGACAGTATTGTTCAGAAGATTAAAGAAGATCATGAAGGTGATAACCTTTGATAGTTCCATGATATGCAAGATCTTTCTCTGTAGGTTTACTGCCTCGGAAATTCGGTTGGACTTCAAATATATCTGTAATAAAGATGTTAGTTCATTTGGTATTAGACTTCAAATATATATGTATAAAGGAGTAAATTGTGACGTAAATGTCACAAGTATTTTGGGATTCAGGGATGAGAAACATGAGAACTGCAAACTATGCATCCAATGGACTATGAAATGTCACCATAAAATGCTCAAATAAAGTACAATCAATCATCAAAGAATGCATAATATTTTGGAATTCACATCTTTACAACTCTGATAACCTAGCATTTGAATGAGCAAGTAGAGAAGCAACTCTTCTACATACCTATCTATCTATCTATCTCTCAAACAAATTTTGGAAATAGATCACGATTCACACATTCTTGGAAAAAACACATGGAACATCTGAAAATTACTTTTGAGATTCTGCACCAACATCAATTCTATGTCAAAACGGCTAAATGTTCCTTTGGCCAGCTAGAAGTTGAATAGTTGGGTGACTTGGATCACTTAATTTTGAACAAAGGAGTACAGGTGGATCAAAGGACAATAACAACCACTATAGGTTGGCCTGAACCAACCACTGTCATGGCCTTAAGAGGAGTCTTAGGCCTCGCATGCTACTATAGAAGGTTTGTTCAACACTATGGAGAGATAGTTAATCCCTAACAGAATTACTTAAAAGGGGTGATTCAATTGGAGTGGTGCAACGAAATAGGCCTTTCAAACTCTAAAGGATGCAATGACCAGCACCCCAGTATTGGCCTTGCCTAATTTTAATGGAATGTTTGCCATTCATACAGGGGAGGAATAGGTGTTATACATGTGCAAGGTGGAAGACCTCTTGCGTATATTAGTACGAAGTAAAGCAATACTGGTGATACTTGAAGGTGTTCTGACATACAGACCCTATATGTTGACACAGCATTTCTGCATGTATACTAACTGGCAACCACTGTTTGAAGCTCAAGCCTCCCTCATTTCAGCCTTGCGCCTCATACGCCTCATCCCCCTAGGACGTAAGCTTCGAAATACGAACATGAGGCTTAAACCTTCCTCCTTTAAGCATCACCACCTCGAGGCGGACCGCCTCAAGTGCCTTCGAAAACCATGCCAACCAGGAAAGTCTTAAATACCCGAAGAAATGGCGAATAGTAACTCCAGAACAATAGAAAAAGGATATGCAAGTTGCTCATATTAGAATATGAGCATAGTTGTTAAGGCGACTAGGCGAGTCTAGGCGCTCGGGTACCTTCTAATCGCCTAAGCGATTAGGCGTCCGCCTAGGCGTCCTCTAGGCGAGTGGCTATGACAACTTTAATATTTTATAGGTATTAATATAAAAGCATATAATATGAAATAAGTAATTAAAGAGAACATATGAACCCCAAAAAATAAAGAGAATATATTCTAAATTATATGAATGAATGTTGTTTTTCAAAAAAATAAAATTTAAAAATATATTCAAAAAAATAAGTAAATATTTTGATCTTTCTAAACTTTTTAAAAGTGAAATAATATTTGGGCCCAATGCTCTTTTAATAAACAACTATATTAATAAGTGTAAAGGCCCACTTCTCTTTTAATAAACTCAGCCCAAATTAGTTAACCTAAAATAACTAATTGGAGAGTCAGAGAGTCGGAGGGTTTAGAGGAGCCGCTGGTTATCTCGGCAGTCGCGACATTGAATCAGCGTCGGCATGTAAGGTAAGCTCGATCTTCCTCAGTCTCTCCTTCGTCTTCTTCAGATCTTCTTCTCCTCCATCTTCCTCCCTCAGCTTCTTCCAGTCATCTTCTCTGGTGTTTGCACAAAAAAGGCTAGGCGAGCAGTTAGGCGTCCATATGACCTCGCCCAGACGCCTAAGCATCGCCTAGGCGACGCCTTGATAACTATGAATATGAGATTGTGCACAAACCATGAATAAGCAATCGCGCAGCGGATCTTTTGTCATGGCGTGAAGAAACAAACCGAGAAGCCAATCAGACCAGGAAGGAAGTGTGGGTTATTGTGCAGCCCATGTGGGTAGCATGGGAAGAGTTGACACAAGCTATTGCCAAGGATCCGACTACCCAAGACTTCCACAAATCATGATTGAACTATTGACAAACTGTTGGGGGAAGTCAAGTAGAAAGAGGTCGCACTCTGCAGGGTGGGAACGTTAAGTACGAGCTGACACAAAAATTCATGACCAATTGATGTTTGAAGTCCATAACTCACCCTCATGACACTCAAGTGTACTTGAAACTTCTAACAACTTGTCTCAAAAAAATTCATGGCATGGGATGAGAAAAAATGTTCATGAGTATGTGCAACATTGTGACACTTGTCATCCAAATAAGACTGAATCAGATATGATTTGATATAAAGATAGGTTTGATTGGATGCTTGCCCAAATCAAGAGGATAAGACACTGTTCTTGAGGTTTTATATCGCTTGAGAAAGTATGCTCAATTGCTCATTTCATGCTGTACCCATCTGTTTTTGGCAAAAGAAGTTCCAGAATATGGTCTTGAGTCCCACAATCAAGTGTATCTGACAGAGATCAACTCTTCCTCAGCAACTTTTAGCAGGAATTATCATCCCGAGATGGACGGACAGACCGGGGATTAACTGCTGCCTCAAACAATATCTCAGATTTTTTGTGTTCTAGAAACCATGACAAGTTGACAACAAACAACAACAACAACAAACCCAGTAAAATCCCACAAAAAGTAGGGCGTTGGAGACTCGGAGGGGGTGTGTACAAAAATCTTACCTCTACTCGAAAGTAGAAAGGCTGTTTCCAGGAGACCCTCAACTCAAGCACACTTGAGGCCATGACAATGGAAACATATTCTAGCCTGGGGAGAATATTGGTAAAACACGTGATATCATGAACCCTTATGAACAACTCCACTCCAAGCAGTTTATGGAAGACACACTGCTCTAGTCTATTTTTCCATCATCTCCGATGATAGAATAAAGCAAAATGGTTCTTTGAACTGTATGCGCTTCTCATCATGGGTCATCCGGAAAGAGCCACTCTATGTTTTAAACATCGGGGTCATGCTGCGTACATCCGACCCCCCTTACCCAGCAATGAGCGGGAGTCTTTGAGGCGCTAAGGTAATGTTGTTGTTGTTGTCCACTGCTCTAGTCCATTATAATTTTGGAACTACCATCGTCCATGAGGTCGAAAAGGCATTTAAGGCATATGATTTTTCTTTAAGGGAGTTAAAAGAACAGCTTGGGATTTCAAGAATTTGTATGAAGCAGTTTGCAACAAGCATCATTGAGGAGTCACAAAAGGAGATTTGGTCCACTTAAATCTACAGCCATTAATCAGTTGCTAGAAGGGCCTTTCAAATAATAGCTAGCAGTACTTTGGGCTATTTCGAGTGTTGAACGTGTGGGATCGTAGAACCTGGAATCCAATAGAACCAGTTGCTAGAATATGATTTATCTACATTATCCTAATTAGACTATGATTAAGATTATTAGGCCAGGGACAGCACCATATAAAGATCATATTGCCATTATTTACTAATTACGATCATCAATAAAACAGTTAAGCTTTTTCAGTTTTTTAACCATGCCTGAGCACATTCCAATACCAAGAGAGTTTATCATATACTCCTTAAAAAGTCAATTCCTCAAAACTGTCAACATCAATTAGCTGAACTAAGTATATGCATAGATGTTACAACGGTATCTTGCTATGTTCAGGCCTTAGTTTTCAATTCCTGCAAAATAGACATTCCAATGAAGCATCTTATGTACAAGTGGAAGCATAACCTCGGCAAGATGACGCATCCGTTTGGTGCATATGTAAGATTCACCTTGGTCACCCTCCTAACTTGTCAAACACAACAAGAAAAAAACTCAATTGTATCCAACAATAGGTTGTTCACAATCACTGTCTTGGTAACTTATACCAAACCTCAAGAATTCGAATGGATTCCAGAACAAGATCTTCAAAATCTTTCTCTTTCCCTTGGATTCGTAGAACCTGGATTTTTGTTAGTTCCTTTGGTCAGTATAGAAATTTTGACAATTCTACCACTTTGGCTGTTTTCTACAAACAAAATGATTTTTGAAAATCAATGTCCCAGTACATCAAGAATGATAACTGAAACGCAAACAGGATGCAAGAATTGAGTGTCAACTGAATTTGTGAATGAATAGCAGTATAAATTGGAGGAACTGCAACATTTTGAGTGTCTTATAAATGAAAAGGAAAACCTAAGTGTTCTATAACCTAATGGAGAAAACTGCATGAGATCAAGACTTCAAACTGCACTTCACCTGAGATAACGAGATCCGTTTTATTTTGTAGGCATGATTGATTTAAAACAAGGTATAAATTGACGCTAACATGCATATACGTCCTGGCCTTTAAAAGGATACATAACATCTAAAATTTACTTCACATAAAAGGAGATATATATGCATCAGTTAGCAAAGGGCCCATTTGGTGAGTGAAGCAGTGTTGATATGATATAACTCATATAAGTCCTAAAATCGAGAGTAAATGATATGGGTTCTGAAATCTTAAATCAAAGCATTTGGAGAGATCTGAAATCTGATATGGTTGTTAGTGACAGGTAAGTGTAGCCAGTGAAGGGGTTGACCGGTGACGGTGGGTGGTTAGAGGCGGTGGATTGCCGGCAATGGTGGCCGGCAGTTCAGGGAGATATCAAAACACCCCCATTTGAGGGGATTGTGATATCAAATCCCAACCATGTTTAGGCTTCAACATACACCAACAAATGGGTTATGATATCACTATATCAAACAGCAAACACATATCTCCTACACTAACCAAACGGGACCTTGTTTTCTAACCCTTTCCCATAAAGTTCACCCAAATATAAATAAAGTTGGAATAAATAACATGACATTACAGTTCCAAGATGATACATTGTATCAGCATAGTCAGGGTGAGCTTCCCCCAAGACCCGCCTCTTTATCTGATCAGTTAAACATGTGAATGTTAGACAGCATAAGAAGCATTAGTAGCAATATGTGAAAAATTTAAAGCTAATCCATTAGCCACATACCTTTAAAGCACGCTGTCAAAGGACATTGGACAAAAAAATGGCATCAGTAATTGAGAAATGCATTTTAATATGCATGCAATGCACTCTATGAATGAGTATGTGCATCTACAGAGTCAAGTGGGGCACCTTTCTCATCATAAATTATACCTGTATGAGACCTAAACAGATCAAATGCTTTCAGGCAAGAAATGTGAGATAATCAAATTCAATTTCAATTATCCAACTTGGCAACTTGAGAAAAACTTGATACTCCATATTTGTTTTACGAAAGCCAAGGTCAAGCAAATGATTTATGACACGGGGTCATGGACGGGCTCAAAGAACCAAACGGGTATAGGAATCTTCATGATATTAGTCTTAGTTTCCTATTAATATTATTGTTATTATTAATATTAGATTCTTATAAGTATTAGTTTCCTTTTAACTAGCATTAGTACTAGTTTTCTACTCCATATTATTTTTAGTGATAAATTCCTATCATTAATAGTTTCCTAGAATTACTTTTATTTAACTCAAGTTATTGTTTCCAAATTAGTTTCTTTGTGGTTTGCAAGACTCTATTTAAGCATTATATTTGCTTCATAAAAAGGATTTTAGGAAAATTAAATTGAAAAAGGTAGTTAGAGTTCTATTAAAAAAACTCCAAAACTCTCTCTCCTTTTCTCTCAGTTCGGTGTGTTCCTCCTAACCAGGTAGAAAGGGAGCAACGCCATAGTAAACTTCCACCCTAAGCTGAAGTGTGGGTCCAATAAGATGCCCTGGGACCCGTGAACATGACAATTTGACCCCTTGGGACCAGGTTCATCCTGCTCAAAGACAAGATATTTGGTTACTATTTGTTGAGGAGGCACTTGGCATAAACTACCTGTTTTGGTATGGCCTAAGGCTAAGTTCCATCTTTCCAAGCGACTCAGGTCTTCAAAAGTAATTGAATAATATGAGTGTGCCAGTTCTAAAGTGCATCAACTGATCAACCCATGTTATATACAAATTGTAAAGAGTATAACACGTGTTTTACTAAGTCATTTGATATCTATGTTGCATATGGAGCATATTTCGCACATAGATCACTATAATACGTACTGTCAATAGCATGAAAAGGATTTCTCTCTTCAATTAAACGACATTTAGAACATACATTGAAAGTTAAAAGGATTTGATTGTGCATCAACCATCAACATCCTTATTAGAACATACACACACACACACACATACATAGATATATATATATATATCTGTGTGTGTGTGTGTGAAAAAGATTAATTATATACAGTCTTAACAAGCATATCTAACCCTCCGTATACTGCAAAACACCAGAATGTGTCTTTAGGGAAAACTTCATTAAAGGACGATTGCATCTGCTACCAAAGATATGAGAGAAAAATATCTCCTGTTTCGTTAGCAGAATTACCTCATAGCAAACACGAGCTGGCTCCAAATTTCGTTGCACAAGGTAGAATTGACCTAAATTGTGAAGGGCTGCCCCAACCCTAAATGAACAGTGCAAATTACATTAATATGATGACATGCCTCAGGATCGCAAATAAAAAAATATGTGGTGTGAAGAACAAGCAATTGCAACTGAGAAATATGCAGATTCCCGTTTGCAATTACAACTTTAATAACACCTATACAAAAAAGATTTATGACCAAAAAGTCTGTCCAAGTACAAAGAAAAAGCAAGTTTTTTCAATACACGTGTATAGCCCCACAACTCCACAACCTTAAAGAATTAACATTTACCGTATATCCTCGTGTCCAAATGACTCCTCAAGGATACTGATTGCCTCCAAATACAGTGGTTCTGCTTTTCCAAATTCCTTTTTTACTCTATATAGCTCTGCCTGTTACACATATCATACCTTTAGAAACTGCCCAAAAAGATAGTTGAAATACTTTGGCAGAAATAGAGCAAATAATGAATAATTGCAGGATAGAGGACTAGTAACGAGAAAGGCTAAGAGAAGGCAGCCAAAGAGAAGAAATTTAAGAAAGCGTGAGAGCTAAAGGACAAAGTGAAACGGACATGAAACAAAAAAAAAGACTTTTCAGAAGAGAAAATTTGGGCATAGAGCAATACAAGATTCAACGAGTCTTGAGAACATTAGAGAAAAAAACAAGCAAAATGCAGGCTCACCAAATTGTTACAGGCAGATGCTACATGTGCATCTCTGTCCCCAAAACCCTCTTTGGCTTCTTCTATGGCAGACAGAAAAAGTTTCTCGGCGTGCTCCAACTTTCCCTGGTCAAAATAGGAACCGAAGTGCAAGTGAGGCATGAGCTGCATTAATGATAGAAACTGGGAAAAAGATTAGCTTACACTAGTTTACTTGAAATTCATCAAAAAAGGTCAGGAAACACCTACTTGTAAAAAAGAATCCCTCCCAGAGTCTGTAAAGACTCTCCATTTTTGAGTGTGAATATTGGACGTGATAGAACCGTCCTCAATTTTTTTAAATTCAGCTATTGTCGCCTCATTTGCATCTTTAGAACTTAGAGTTGATACATCTTCAGCCATTGCAAAACAAGTTTGTCCTCCGAGAAGGATTGCTGCGGTAAGAATTAAATGGAATGTGTTTCATAAAATATAGTTCTAGCCCTGAAAGAGAAAAGATCATCTTTTCTAATACAGTGTGCAGGGAGGTATATCCTGAATGTACAATAGAATATTTGTAGAAACACTGTATGCAACAAAATTATACTTCCTTCGTTCCATTGGAATTTTCCAATTTCCATTGGCACAAAGATTAGAATATGGAACATGTGTGGTTGAGGTTTATTTAAAAGAAGATGAAAGATAAGGACTATAATTTTCTTTAAAAGAAAAGTGACAAATATTCTGGGTCGGATGAAAAAAGAAATATGAAATATACTAGCGGGATGGAGAAAGTATATAACACCAAACTCCATGTGAAAACAGCATTGATGCAAAAAATGCATTTTGGTATCTTCCGAGCCCTAACAATATTCAATCCAGGACAAAGATATATTGGGGTTTATTTGAAAAGGATATATGCACATAAGGTAACATAATTCAACATATAGTAACAAGAATTGTAGATGCATTATGAAAAAAGAATGGACAGAAGAGAACTCTCAAAAAGGCATACCTAAGATTTTGGTCTGATGTTAACAAATAAAATTTACACAGAGAGAACAAAGACATGTAACATTTGAAAACTAATATTGTTTAAACCAAGCTCTGCTGAAACTCTTTAAGATGTGATCAACATATATTCATCGAAAAATCCACTTGAAAGAAAAACAGGAGAAAAGAACACTTCATGTCACAGTGTCACAAGTTGCAACATTTAAAATTTGGAACAAGAAGAAACGGTCTAGTTTTTAAAAATATTGGACCAATTAAAACCATGATGCAACTCATACACCGAAAGAGAAACACCTAAGGAGAAGGGGGGAATTTGAGAAAATTTGAGAAAATTTGTATGAGCTAAAGATGTTAAACAAAAAAGGTTCATTATCACAAAGATAATGAGACTAGGATAAAAAATCATATGGTAGTTCAAATTCAAAAACCAGCAGTGTGTGCCTCACTAGTTCCATTCCCATGCCCCTATATAAATACCACATAAAAGTTGGTTCTCTGATACACATTTAAAAGCATGCATAAAATACATGTGTTTCAAAAGGAAAAGAGATACCTATATGTGAAAGATCAAACTTCTAAGAATTAAAAATGAACGTAATCAAAGAGACCAAATCGTACCAGCTTGTCCAAATAGAAATATCCATTTGAATTGGTGCCTACTATCACCTCCAAAGCCGTGTTGGTTAATAGACTGGAGAACTGCAAATGCAAAAATTGTGAAAATATATTTCCTTCCTAATAATGATAATGCATATTGTACACCCGGTTGTAGGTAGAGCTAGGTACAACAGGCAGATATTCATTTTGAATCAACAAAATGTTTATTTTGAATCAAGATAGTGTTCATTCAGAAACATGTTCATTCTGAAATTACGTAGTGTTCATTCTGAAACAGCGTAATGTTCATTTTGAAATATTTTTTTAACTACAACTCTACAAGTTTGCCATAATGTATCAAGATTCAAGAAGAAAGTACATCTGGCTCTGCCATATAATTTTCCCTTAATAATCATCTTAATACGAGGAAAATTGAATCATCTTATATACACTACTCAGGAGTGTACCAAAAATTACACTAAGAACTACTCGTATCTTTTATCAAACGAGACTCCCCAAATGCATGTAATTATGGATTGGGTTACATGAGGTAAGCAGACTTCAAATTCAGAACAATACACCAGCAGAAACGGAATTGACAACAACCAACCTGGATAGGAGGGGAAGATGGATCCTTTTCTACTTCTTCCCCAGAATAACGGAACATACGACGATTGCCGGAGTCCCCCTAGAACGTTAGCAAGTGCTCGCCGGAAAATCATCGTTCAGCAAGAAGATGGAAGAGTGAGGATTGTAAGTTTGATAAAAAATGGGGGTGATTTTTTAAATATGAGTGTATTCAATATGGATTTTTAAAAGTCTTTAAAAATCTTGTGTTATTCAATAGTGATTTTCTAAAGTCTTTAAAAATATTTGATGTATTCAACTTGGATTTTCAAAAGTCTTTAAAAATTTTGAGATATTCAAAAGTTTATAAATTTTAATAGTCTACCGATTTTAATGGATTTTCTATTAAAAAAAATACTTACATTTTCACTCATGGAAATCTCTACTCAGAACCCCAGATTTCTATGGATTTTCAACCAGATTTCTATGGATTTTCACTCATGGAAATCTCTACTCACTACCCTAGATTTCTATGGATTTTCATAGAAATCTGGGGTTGTGAGTAGAGACTTCCATGAGTGAAAATGTAAGCATTTTTATAGAAAATCCATTAAAATCAGTAGACTATTAAAATTCATAAACTTTTGAAAACCTCAAAATTTTTAAAGACTTTTGAAAATCCAAGTTGAATACATCAATATTTTTAAAGACTTTGGAAATTCACTATTGAATACCTCAAGATTTTTAAAACTTTTAAAAATCTAGACTGAATACACTCATGGGGTGTATTCAATTAGGATTTTATAGGATATTTTTAGATTTCAAAAAGTTAGTGAATTTGAAATTTTTTTAGAATCTATGTAGAGTTTAGTTGATTTTTTGTAGAACCCATGTAGAGTTAAAAATTTTGTAGAATCTATGTAGAGTTTAAAAAATATATAGATTTTGCAACAGTAATGTTGCTCCTATTGCTCCACGCCAATCGAATCTGGAGTTGAAGAAAAGCAGAATAGAAACCAAGGACAGAATCTGATTTGTAGCCTTGACGATAGTGGAAATCAAAAAGTAAATGATGTGCCCAATTTCGGTAAGATTTTCCTTTCAGAAAATAGCACTGGGAAATCGATTAATCCAGTAAAAAATCCAATATTGGAAACCTAATGTTCTTCTTTTGTGCTCTTTTCTATTCTGACAAGGTTCAAAAGAAGGAAATTTGAGTGGAAGCAGTGTTGAAGAAGCCAGAAACGCATTGGCAATTGCAGAGACCAATTGCAGAGAGAGTTCATATGCCAAATCACAAGAACAGTCGACGAAGGCCAAAACAGAGAAATAAAATGGAAATCCATAGAAATCTAGGGTTGTAAGAAAAGATTTCCAAGAGTGAAAATGTAAGCATTTTTTGAGAGAAAATTCAACAAAATCCATAGACTAATAAAATTCATAAACTCTTGAATACCTCAAAATTTTTAAAGAGTTTTGAAAATCCAAGTTGAATACTTTAATATTTTTAAAGACTTTGGAAAATCACTATTGAATACCTCGGTATTTTTAAAGACTTTTGAAAATCCAAATTGAATACACACAGATTTTAAAAATCTAAAAATATCCTACGGACTCCGGATTCAATACACCCCCTCAGATTTTAAAAATCCAAAAATATACCAGAACCTCCGTGATGGATATCGGGTCTGGTAGGCCCGACTCCAGGCCCGAATAAAGGCCCATAATAGCCCAAAAGGTATAAGATCAGATGGAGGTAACGGGCCAAGCCCGTTATTACGCATACAGCAGATAGAGAAAGACGGTCCAGTCATGGAATAAATTAAGGTGACCTAGTCCAAGAAAGGAGTGGGACACGTGGCCCACGTCATTGGGTCATAGGCGAAGTGGGAAGAGAACGAGACCGGGAAAGAGGGAATCACGACCCCCCGATCTCCATAATCCTTTCTACTTTGTATAATTTTAATTACGATATTAGAAGTACTATAAAAGGGTGAGAACCCGCCATTGTAAAGAAAAGGCAATTGAATACTCAACCAGAGAATATTTTTACGTGATTATATCTTTCTGATCTATATTACGTTCTTGGTCCGCCATCTAATCGGGTTAATCCCATCATTGGTGCTTCCATTGAGAGAAAACTGTGAGATAAGGCTGTGAGATTATGGCCGGACGAAGGACGAGACGTAACACTGCTGCTTCCGCCCAGTCGACGGTGAGGAGTGACAACCCTGAGCAGGGTATGATCGTTCCTGACAATGGGTTGGAAACGGCATTGAATAATGTGGCTAACATGATGGCCAACATTATGGAACGATTTGATAAGGCTCTTCCAGGTCCATCCGGTATCCGGGACATCCCTGCCGGGCAACCCCGCCAGGTCCTGCGTACTGCGAGTTCACCTATCCTCCAGGAGATTCATGATCCGGAGGAGGTCGAGAGGGAGAAACAGGCTATTGCCAGACGCCGGGCGGAGGAATTGGCCCGGAATAGTAAGATGAATGAAGACCGGGCCAGGGATGCAAGCCGGATCGTCGGCAATGGAAACGAAAACCCGCGGGGATCTGTCTTTGAAAGGATATCTCGCCAGAAGGCTCACGTTAGTGAGAGGCTGGGGAAGAATCCGGATAAGGCACCCCAGGGCTGGATACGACCCCATGCTAGCCAGGTGGCATCTTCTAACCGCGAACCCCGGCAGCGAAACGGCCGTGGTGGGATCCAAGCGCCGGTCCGGTCAGTGGTGGATTTGGAGGAGGACGAAGTTCAAAGCCAAGCCATGGTCCCAGCACCACGGCGTCTGGGGCGGCCGGTGCCGGAAACTGGTGAATTCCAAGATCTGAGGCAGCAGATCCAGGAGATGCAGAGGAAGATAAACAAGGGTCGAGTATTCACTACCCGGACGAATACTCCCTTGGCCCCGGAGATCTTTGCGGAACCATATCCGCAGGGATTCAAAATGCCGTTCGTTAAGCGTTATGATGGGGAGTCAGATCCCCAGGAACACATAAACAGCTATGTCTAGGTGATGATTGCCGTGGACGCCAGTGACGCACTCATGTGCCGGTGCTTCTTGCAGACGGTTGATAGCAAGGTGGCGGATTGGGTCAACCATATTCTTGCCGGGTCGATCCGAACATGGGATGAATTGGGATTGCGGTTCCTAGAGCATTTTGCCGGGAACTGCCGTCCCAAGAAGCATTTCACTCACTTGGCTTCAGTGCGACAGAAGCACGGAGAGTCCCTGAAGAATTTCCTTATTCGATGGAGGAAAGAGTCCAGGGAGGTTGAAGGAACCGACGACAAATCCAGGTTGGCCATGTTCACGGCGGCATTACAGGATGGACTCCTTCATACCGATCTTACAACTCATCCCCCGGATACCTTTGAAGAAGCAATGGTCCGGGCCGGGAGGTATGTAACCCTGGAGGAGAGAAAGGAGGAGAAGAAAGAGAAGACTCCTAAAGAAGAAGAGAAGACGGGGAATAAGAAGCCGTTCAAAAATAAGAAGCAAGGCTTCCCGGATGGCCCAAAGGGCACAAGTCCTAGGACCTCGGAGAAGCACAAATCTGCCAATCCGGTCTTCACATTGCCGGTGGCTGAGGTCATGGCCCACGCTGCACAGCAGGGACTCATGACTTATCCAACCTATTCTCAAAATGTCTGCAATGTGGAGGACACTGGAAAATGGTGTGCTTACCATCGCAAGAATGATCACAATACGGAAGATTGCTATACTCTGAAGAATGAGATGGCAAGGCTAATCCGCCGGGGTCATCTGAAGAAGTTCGTACAAGACGGGGATGCGGGAAATCCCGGGAACACTCAGAATGGAAAGCACAGAGATAAAGAAGTGGCCCAAGCTGAGGCCCGGGAGAAGCGCCACATTGGGCTCGAAGATGAAGAAGAGGATTCGGAACCCGCACCGCATCGCCAGAAGAGACACCACGGGTGTAACTTCATCATTGGAGGGAATACGGGCGGAGGCCACAAGCCGGAAAAAATGGGCAAACGCGGCGACGGTCAACAAGGTGCAGGTCCCAGAAGGTAAGAAATTGAAAACCGAGTCAATTATATTTTCTAATGCTGATTTGCCAGAGACAAGGGTCCCCCATAGGGACTCCCTGGTGATTACTATTGACATAATGGACTAGCTGATCCATAAAACCCTTGTGGATACGGGAAGTTCCGTTAATATCATGTATATGGACACGTACAAGGCTCTTGGTTTGACAAGGGATGAATTATCGCCCATCAAAACCCCACTGACCGGGTTCACTGGTGACTCTATTGAACCGGAGGGGGTAATAACTCTCCCGGTCGAGATAGGGGATACAAAGGCCACCCGGAAGTTGGACATGGAGTTTGTGGTGGTGGGGATAATCTCCAACACAAACATCATCCTGGGCAGACCCGGATTGGAAGATTTAGAGTGTGTCATTTCACCTCGTCACCTGTGCATAAAGTTCCCAACCCCCCACGGAGTTGGAATCGCCAGGGGATCTCAGAGAGTGTCCCGGGCATGGTATTTGAAGGCAACCAAACAACCAGTCAAGTACGATACCCAAGTGGAAGAGGTGACTGCACAGCTCCTGAGGGCTGAGGAAAAACGTCCCAGGGTGGAAGTTGCTGGCGACATTGAGGAAGTGGAACTGGAGCTAGACACGCCGGGAAGGTTAGTCAGGATTGGCAAGGGCCTGGGGGCTGAACTCAGATCACAGGTGATTTCAGTCCTTAGAAGATTCAGGAGGGTCTTTACATGGAGTCCAGCTGATATGCCGGGGCTGGATCACAAGATTGCAGTCCATCGCCTAAATGTCCTGCGGGATGCTAAACCAGTGAAGCAGAAACGGAGGCATTTGTCGCAGGAAAGAAGAGATTTCGTGAAGAGGGAGGTAGAAACCTTGCAGAGCATTGGTCACATCCGGGAGGTGCAATACCCGGATTGGTTGGCAAATGTAGTTCTGGCGCCCAAGCCCCCTTCGTGGAGGATGTGCGTCGACTACACGGATTTGAACAAGGCATGCCCCATGGATCCGTTTCCTCTCCCCAACATCGATCAGATGGTGGATGAGACTGTCGGATCAGAGTTAATGAGCTTCATGGACGCTTTCAGCGGCTACCATCAGATTCGGATGCATCCGGCTGACGCTGAAAAGACGAGTTTTATGACCCCTGAAGGGCTGTATTGTTACCTGGTGATGGCCTTTAGATTGAGAAACTCCGGGGCAACATATACCCGGATGGTTTCTCAGGTGTTCAAGGCTGTCTTAGGGCGAACCATGGAAGCGTATGTTGATGATATGATTGTCAAGTCCAAAGAGGCCCGAGACCATGTCCGGGACCTTGAGGAGGTCTTTGAAATCATGATGAAAGTAAATCTGAGATTGAACCCGAAGAAATGTACTTTTGCTGTTCAAGGTGGGAAATTCCTTGGGCACATGGTTAGCCGAAAGGGAATTGAGGCGAACCCGGAGAAAGTAAGGGATATTATGGAGATGGAACCCCCGAAGACAGCAAAGGAAGTTCAGCGGCTGACGGGGAGATTGGCGGCTTTGAATCGTTTCCTTTCAAAGCTGGCAAAGAAGGCGCACCCATTCTTTGCGGTGATCAAGAAGAGGGCGACCTTCGAATGGACACAAGAATGTCAATAAGCATTTGAAGAATTGAAGAGATATCTCGCAAGACCGCCGGTTTTATCTAAGCCGGAACCTGGAGATATTCTGACTCTATACTTGGCGATTGCAGACTGTGCCATAAGTACTGTGATCGTAAGGGAGGAACGTGGGGCCCAACATCCGGTCTACTACGTCAGCAAGACCCTGAGAGATGCGGAGTTAAGGTATTCCCGTCCGGAGAAAGCCATGTTGGCGGTCTTCTGGACAGCGAAGAGATTAACTCCGTACTTTCAGGCTCACCAGATTGTTGTGCTCACGAATAAGCATTTGGCGTCACTTACCCGGAGCCCGGCGGCGTCTGCCCGGATGACCAAGTGGGCAGTCTTCATCAGTCAATATAACGTGGAGTTCAGACCGCGTCCGTCAATCAAGGGGCAAGCACTCGCCGACTTTCAAGTTGAGTGCACCGCCAGGGTAATGACAAGAGCCCAAGTTGAAACCCGGGTGGAAAATGACTGGTGGGTAATGAGCATCGATGGATCTTCTGGGGCTTGATCTTGCGGAGCAAGAATCGTCTTGATCACCCCAGAGAATTTCCGGATTTATTACGCTATCAGATTTCAGTTCCGCGTATCCAACAATGAAGCTGAATATGAGGCTCTGATCAACGGATTGAAGATTCTTAGTAAATTGGGAGTATCCAGGGTTCAGATTTATAGTGACTCCCGATTGGTGGTGGGGCAAATCACTGGGGAATTTGAAGCTAAGGAAGAGAGGATGAAAAGGTATCGAGACTCGTCCTTAGAAATGTTGGGGAAGTTTGAGTTTAAGCTTGAACATATACCCCGGGCCCAGAACGCAGAGGCTGATGTTCTATCCAAGCTCAGCGCAGAATCACCAGAATACATAAGCAAATTAGCAACCGTCGAGGAGCTGGCAACCCCGAGTCTTAACAGAAATGAGGTGATCTGGGTATCAGCTAATCCCCCGGAGTGGCTGGACAGGTTGGCAAAATACATTGAGGACGGTGAAGCCCCGGAGGATCCCCGAGAAGAAGTTGACAGGGGGCTGGGCGAAACAGAGGTACTATCACCCTTATTCTTCTTGGGCAGGAAATCATCATCAGTGACTCCTTCCCTTGGCCGTTTCTGGGACGGAGTGGGCCTCCTAAGCCCGGGGATGGCAGAGATGGGAGTAACCTCCGGGGCAGCAGCTGGCTTGCGCACAGCCAAGGCAGTGGAGTTGCCTTGGGATTGGTTCTCGGAGGAGCTCGTAGCTGGGTTGGATTCTGCGGCAGGAGGAGCCTTTGACCTTTCAGGGGAGGGCACCCCGTCAAATGGGATCGGGTCAGGACCCAGGGGGTAGTAAAACCCCGCCTTCTTGTACAACTGGGCGTCTTGAAGGGAGTGATGTGAAATCAAACCCTCTTTTTCTTTCAAGGCATTGTACACTTCCTCCGCTAATTCTGCTACAGCAAATTTTGTCCGGGAGATGGGATGACGGAGAGCAACACCCGGTAGATCAAGGGGACTATGAGCCGGGAACTCTATGACGAAGTACCTCAGTGACCATTTTTCATGCTTGAACTCAACCTTCTCAAGAATTGGGAAATGGTTGTGGGGATATAGGCTGTAGAAGGGGGAAGACCCACCGATACTGAAGAGGATAAGGAATTCATCCAATTTTGGGGTTCTGTCCAGGGCACAGCACCGCAAAATGTAGGACGCAACATACTTATGCGCGTTGGCAGTCAATTGACCCGGAGCAAATCCGAAATGGAGGCAGAGATCGCGAAGCAGACCGTGGAGGGGCAACCTAAACCCATTTTCCACGGAGTGGTACTGCATGACCATATATTTTTGGGGGTTTGGATTGTAGGATAAACTGATCCCCCTAACGCCATCGGGATGGTGGACCCGGAAGCCCTTGCCCAAGAGCACGGCCACCTCTTGAAGTTCGTTCTCCTTGATAATGGAGGGTCCATGGGTCCAGGTTTCAGGATTTGTGGGAGCCATTTTGGAAAAAGAAGCAAGGATTTGGGGAAATTGCAGTCGGAATTCGGGTCGGGTTAAGATTCAGTAGCGAGAGGAAGAAGACGAGTCCAGAAGGGGTTTTTATCCGTCGAAAGGATGGACCCGAGGTACTCGAGTTCGACGTTTCTGATCCACCACGAAAACCGAAGGCGGCTCATCATTAGTTTCCTAGTGACACGTCGCCAGAAAACTAGGGGGCTTGTGATGGATATCGGGTTTGGTAGGCCCGACTCCAGGCCCGAATAAAGGCCCATAATAGCCCAAAAGGTATAAGATCAGATGGAGGTAACGGGCCAAGCCCGTTATTACGCATACAACAGATAGAGAAAGACGGTCCAGTCATGGAATAAATTAAGGTGACCTAGTCCAAGAAAGGAGTGGGACACGTGGCCTACGTCATTGGGTCATAGGCGAAGTGGGAAGAGAACGAGACCGGGAAAGAGGGAATCACGACCCCCCGATCTCCATAATCCTTTCCACTTTGTATAATTTTAATTACGATATTAGAAGTACTATAAAAGGGGGAGAACCCGCCATTGTAAAGAAAAGGCAATTGAATACTCAACCAGAGAATATTATTACGTGATTATATCTTTTTGATCTATATTACGTTCTTGGTCCGCCATCTGATCGGGTTAATCCCATCACTCCGGGTTCAATACACCCCTAAGTCACAGTTTGAAGTGCTGATATTTCAAGTGCTCTAAGGTGATTCCACATCCCTTTTAAAATATTTTCACACCACATGGAGTACATGCATGATGCATGATGCACCAAGTACAAAATATATTGGGCCTCAATTCCTAAAATATTGGACTCACCGAAACAAGCCATTGCAAATACACAAAGTCCATTACAGATTAAGACCAAAATGGCATGACCCGTGAGATTTATCCCGCTTGAAATTCAAAATCAGTTTTTCAAGATCTCAGTTCAGCGAATTCAAACAACGAACCACCTCCGGAGTTGTCTCTCTCCACTTCAGTTATTACAGAAACTAGCCGTTGATCTAAGGTCAATACGCGATGCCGGCGACGCCCAGCAGCGGCGGCAGCGCGGGAGATGAAGAGAAGCGACGGCTTAAATTAGCCCAAAAAGTAACTAGGGTTTTTGACGAGGTCCGGTCGTCCCAGGCAACCCACCTCCGGAAGCTAAAGGAGCTCTCTGCCCTTCGCTTCCATTCCTCAGTCTCGCCGGAAAATTTCTTCGCCGCTTTCTGCACAGCCTTGACCCCAATTTTTGACTTCCAGCAACGAACATCATCCGCTGAGCGGATTATCCGATTTGTAGCTATCTTCGCGGGTGCCCGGGACCCGAAGAAGGCTTCTGATGGCGACTCATTTCTGGAACAATTCCTCAGGTTTTTGCTGGTGGCTGCCGTGGCGTCAAACCGGACTGTGAGAATCAGGGCTTGCCAGATCATTTCTGAGGTGCTTTAAAAACCAACTCGATGTTGCAGCTTTTTATTTTTTATTTTTTAATAGCTCCAAAGATTTATGATCGAATGCTGCCAGTTATTGGAGAGGGCGATTTGGATTTTAAGGTGATAAAGACTTAAGTCACATGGCATAGCTTTATGTATTTGAATTGGAGAAAATAATTGAGCGGAATGAAATTTGCTGAGAAAAAGCAGTTTTTGATCTTTTAGCTAAAATTTGATTGAAATTTTGAAATGGCCTGGACCTTCATTTGTTATTTCCTTGCGGAGTTGAGGGGCTGTGCAGATTTAGTCTTTCTTATATAGTTAAATGTGACAGCTATTATAATAAATGTGGAAACAGCCAACTTTATTATAAAAGATTTTCTTGTATATTCCTGTAGCTTGACCTGCATTTTGTGTGCTCATAATCAGCTACGCGAAGGACAATAACATAGATGCATCCTTGATGCTGCTCCTCTTGACGCTTCAAGTGTGAATCTCGACAATTGCTAAGAAATTTTTATTAGACTTTCTAGATGCTTAATTTTTAGGAGTTAGAGTAAACTTAGAAAGCATAGGATGTGCTATACTTTCTGAAATGTTGGAATTTAATTATTGAACATGTAATTTCCTAAAATAGGTTTTTTCTCAGATCTAACAAATGAGAAGAACCATTGTTTTCTTCATTTTAACCAAACAATTGCACCTTACAAGAACATTATTTATCCATCTCCCTTTTGATGGTTTAATAGAGTGCACTTCTCTCTCTCTCTCTCTCTCCCTTCTTTTCCATTTTTTAATTTTAACGTTTAAATATTTGTGAGGTACATTATATTCTTTCAGCTTACTGGAGTATATTTTATCCATGTAATATATATTTTTTAGATCATAATGCGGCTGCCAGATGACACTGAAGTTAGCAATGAACTTTGGGATGAGGTGATAGATGGAATGAAGTTGCGTGTTGGCGATAAGGTCCCTGCAGTCCGAACATTTGCTGTCCGGGCTCTTTCACGCTTTGTGATTGATGCAGAGAACAGTGATGTTCTAGAATTGTTGTTGCAGACATTGCCTCTTGAACCAAATCCGGTCAGTATATCATTTTAACTAAAACAACTATAAGAAATCACAGGATAAATATATTAACATATTTACATTCTATAAGAAATCATAACAAAAGAGTAAATACGATAGGGAAATCTAGTTTCTTTGGTCAGTGATTATGTTATTTCATACTCCGTATTTTTAAATATGTTAAATCTATTCCTTACTTCCTGATTTTGGGGAATTTATGCAGATTGTACGCAAGACAATTGTGTTATCTCTCCCGCCTTCACACTCAACCGCAACCACAGTAATTGAATGCACCTTGGATTCAAGTGAAACAGTACGTAAGGCAGCGTATTATGTGCTAGCTAGCAAGTTTCCCTTACAGAGCCTCAGGTAAAATTTGACCTTTTATTTCTAAACATGTGTCTCTTCTTGAGTGTCGTGTAATTTCCCGCATCATGCATGGTCACTTCACATCAGATTGATCAGTGCTAGTACTCTATGCAATAATTGCTTTCGTTGTGTTTTTATTTTTGCTTGAAATATAGAGTGTTCTCCAAATAGTTAACTTGCTCTTTTTTGCCACTTTACTTTAGCCTCATTCCATAATATGATTATATAAGCCTTGGTGTATTCATACCTTGCTTTATGCACCTCAAGATAGGAATAAAGTGTTGTATTCTGTCTTCTCACTAGATATATGTTTCTGCATTATATGATCTGCAGCATCAAGCTCAGGACAACTATTTTGCAGAGGGGACTGGCAGATCGCTCCTTGTCTGTCATGAAGGAGTGCCTCAAATTAATGAAAGATGAATGGCTTGCCAAATCTTGCAATGGAGAGCCTGTAAATCTTTTAAAGTATCTTGATGTTGAAACCTATGAGTCTATTGGAGAGTCAGTCATGAGCACCTTGTTAAAAGAAGGGCTGGTGAAAGTGCATGATGGTCAAAGTATTAGGCAGTTCTTTGCATCAACTAGTGATTCCGATGAAGGTTAGATTTATGTATGTTCTGGTTTTTATGTCATGGCGTTATGCACTTTGATTTATATTTTTACACTATCCCTTTTGTTGCCACCTTTGTGCAACTAGTTTTCTGAATAGATGAAGAAAAATATTCTACCTGGTAAACCATATTACATGCCATAATTGCTAAGGGTATGAGTTGGTTTTGCTACTTTTAGAGGGAATTTAGGTTGCCTCTGAATCTGAAGTGTCTTGAATGCATCAGCAAAGAATGTCAAACTGCAATTCCTAGCTACTCCACTAATTACATGCATGTAGAAATTAGAATAAGAAATTAAGGCATTTGCGTAAAAGGCCATTGATTGCTTTGGTGCATCAAGTTAATGAAGCAAAACATAGAGGAAGTACATTTAAATGAAAACCACTGTAATCTCTTTGATGACATGTGAAACAAATATTTAAAAAGGTGTGCTCATACATTTACTCCCCCAGTCCCTAAATTTCACACTTTCCATGTGGAATCACCTCTCAAATTAAAGTTCGCACTTCGCCTCTTTCATTTTAAAGAAAAGAATATGTGGCTCACAACATTTCTCTCACTTCGAAACAAATTCCTAGCACACGCTTTTCACTTTTCAACACGTTTTCTTAAAATGAGCGAGACAAATTACGAATTTAATTTGGGTACAAAGAGAGCACTTTAATGTATATGGGACTACTCAAAAAATGTATATGGGGCTTCAATAAAACGTCTCATACAATTTGGTGCATCAACTTATTACACATTTCTGTAATTAGCATGACAAATTATTCTGTGAAACAATAATTTTGAAAGGGGTGTAGTAACTTGATATATATGAAGAGAATAACATTGTCATATTCCTAATTCATTAAACTTAAAAGGGAGGTTCACTATACCCAAACAGGTTAACGGGAGGTCACTACCACTTTAACTTTTACCCACTTCTGATGCAATCTGTTTTTATCATGTTTGTTGCAACATTTAGAAAATTGCAATTACTAGCTAGAATAGCTACTCAACTAATTGCATGTATGTAGAATCAGAAATCAAGGTAGTTGTGCAAAAAGCCATTTTATTTAATTGATTTGGTGCATCAAGTTAATGATTTTAAAACACAAGTTAAAGAATGTAAAACACTGAGAAAGTGCATTAAAATGCACACCACTGTAATCTTTTTGATGACCCAGGAGACACTTTTTATGATGACTTTTCAGTTGTCACTTGTCAGCAGTGTGCTGCTTTTGTGTTGGTACTCTTTTGGATGCCATTTTTGTTAGTTAAAAATATGCTCTATTAACTGTCAGTTTCAAATTACATGCGAAACTCTAAATATATAATGTATCCTAAGGGTTCATTTAGTATTGCTGGTTTTTTATTGGTATTTGATCTCTTTCATTTTATTAAGCTTCTTATTGATTGGGTTTCTGTTTTGGTTTTAGGACAATCGAAATCTACTGTCCAACTAATGGAAGCAGAGGTTGCATTTTTCTGGAGAACCATTTGTAAGCACCTGCAGATGGAAGCACAGGTGGGTATCATGATACTTGCTATGCTGCATCCATTCAGTTTTTTTGAAAGTTGGACTGAAAATGTTTTTTTGGCTATTGCTATGCATTTTGGCTGGATTTGGTGAATATTAGTGTATCTCACACACATTTCTTCAGATATGTGAAATCTATGTCCCACAGCTAGCATTATTTTTTTGTGGCCACCCCCACTGCTGTTTGGCTTAAATACACCTGTGTTATATCACTTACATGCATTTCATATAAATTGAACCGAGTCACTTGTATCTAGCAAATTATTCCGTGAAACAATTATTTTCAATTTTGTGCTTTGAGCATTGTGGTCTTGGGGCATGGCGACAATCACGGCAATGGTCCAATTTCTTTTGGCAATGGCGTAAATATGGCTTCACCATATGACACAGAGCTAATTAACTAAATTTACAAATATACAGGTCATAAATTCAATGAACTATAATGGACTACTTGATTTAGATATTCCTTGTAAATAAAAACATAAAAAAGCAAATTCAAAAGTGTTGGTATTAAAACGACTTGAGCATAACACGAAAGTTCAATTGAAGTTAGCTCGATAATAATGGCACGTCATCATCATTCATATCACTATTAGAAGGATCCTCAATGTTAAGATCATCAATCTTCCTCAACCTTGTGTTTGGGTGGATCATTTGCTGATGCCTGCATTGGAGAGGAATAGTGTGGAGTGGTCGCCTGAAGTCAGAAGACACTAGTTGCATGAGGTCATATGCCAGAAGTCGTCGTGTAACTCAGGTGATGAGGAGGTCTGGAGATTGAAGATCAAAGTCGTCTATTGGGATTAGGGTATCACATTAAGATTAAATGGCTCTTAGCATTTACGATAACCTTGTTTTTTGGATTGGTTTTTCAAATTTATGGTTTGTGCTTGGAAAAACGTTGGACCCAAAAACAAAAATGGCAACAAAATGACGAGGCATGACATGTCAAGGAAAAGGGGATGCCATTAGTATACCTATCCCCAAAACATATTTTGTGGCAATGAAGGTCCAAATGGCCAATTGCGCAATAGCCAATGCCACAAAATGGCGATCTCCATTTGCGCTATTGATAATCCTGTCTTCCAACATACATAATATATATGAGGAGAATAAAATATCACACACTTAATCCATGAAACTTAAAGGGAGGTTCACTATGACCAAACAGGTGAAAGGCATTGACGCTGCAACTAAAACCGGCACTGAGTCTGTCGTACATGCAGCAATAGCTTCAGACAGCAATGATCTTCTTGATCGCGTTCTACCTGCTTCTGTCCCTGAGTATGTGGAAATTGTTAAAGCTCATATAGGCGCTGGTGAGTGTACCTGCCTCTATCTTCCTTAATCCTTTCATTTTTGTTATTTTATTATTATTATTAAAAACTTCATCAGATAATATCTTTTTATCACAGGACCAAATTATCGCTTTGCATCTCGGCAATTACTATTGCTTGGGGCAATGCTTGATTTTTCTGATTCTTCAAACAGAAAGGTTGCAGGTGAATTTCTGCAAGAGTTGCTGCACAAACCCCTTGATTATGAACTAGATGAGCATGAAGCTGAAGTCGTTATAGGGGATGGCATCAATTTAGGTGGGGACAAGGAGTGGGCTGCAGCAGTCTCAGAACTTGCAAGGAAAGTTCATGCAGCCCCAGGAGAATTTGAAGAAGTTGTTTTAAGGGTTATAAAAGAACTTGCTCAACCTTGTCGGGAGAGGACTGCTGGTTGTATGCAGTGGCTTCACTGTCTTGCTGTTACTAGTCTTCTCTTGGAAAATGCACAGTCATTTCGTCGGATGCAGGGAATGGCCATAGAACCTATGGAGATTCTGCATTCTGTTTTGCTTCCCGGGGTATGTATGGGCATAATTATACCACATCCAATTTACTCTTCTCCATGTATTTTGCTATTTTAGCTTTCCTCGTTTAATCTTTCCTACAGCTGCTCGGCTCGTAGATAGATAAGATGATGAATTATGGAATGTTTTATTATTTCAAAATACAGGCAAAGCACATTCATTTAGATGTTCAGAGGGCTGCGGTGAGATGTCTTGGTCTTTTTGGGCTTCTGGAAGGGAGACCCAGTGATGACATAATAAAATACCTAAGGCGCTCATTTGTTAAAGGGCCTTCTACAATCACAATTATGGCTTCTAAGGCTTTGATGGATCTTGCGATGTGGCATGGTCCTAAGGAAGTAGATAATGCTTTGGAACCACCTTTGTCTTCACAAGAACATGATCATACTACGGTTGTAACCCCAATTGAACTCGGTAATGATAAAGATGGGTCTGAGATCAAATTGCTGCATCTGTTATATGATGGACTTGGAAAGAATGACTGGGATGACTCTATAGACAATAATGAAGACGAGTCTGTTAACTCCATTCTTGGAGAGGGTTTTGCTAAGTTTCTTCTTCTCAGTGAGAAGTATTCAGTCCTACCAGCTGTGTCGCATCCTCAACTATTAGCTAAACTGATTGGCTTATACTTTTGTAGTGAGAGCAAAGATCTTCAGAGGTAAAAAAATGTAACCAAGCTTTCCGATTCCATAGTACAAACTCCTCTAATTATTGCTTTACTTGATAGGCTGAAGCAGTGCTTATCAGTATTTTTTGAGCACTACCCATCCCTTTCAGTGAATCACAAGGTACACATCATTTTTTAATTCAAGCAAAATGTGTGATTTTTAAATTAAGAGTTAATACTCAATTTAGTTCTTTGACTATAGAGTATTCAATACTTAGTACGAGTATTACTCAATTTGGCCACTTTGACCCCTTACTCTCTTTTGGGCTCAATTTTATCCACTATAATGCAATTCAGGCTCCATTTAGTCTTCATCCATATTTTTCTCTAATTAAGAAGAATATTTTGATACACTCATAAATGATGACTTTTTTTTAAATCCAAATTACACCGTTGAGGCCAAATTGAAGCCTAGATTTGGTCTAAATTTAGTGAATGGATGAAAATGCCGTTATTCGAAACCGAATCAGGTATTAACTCTAAAAAAGATACTGTTGTTAGAGTATATACAAAAATCATTCTTGGGCCACAACCACAAGCTTGAGCTTTTGGTTGAGTTGGCTCCTTGACATGGTATCAGAGCCTTGATGACCAATTTGTCACGAGTTCAAAACTCAGTGTCAGCCAGTTTTAAATAAATTAAGGTTACACATGCAAGGCTCGAAGAAGTCACACCTGCACGCGAGGGGGTGTGTTAGAGTATATATAAAAATCATTCTTGGGCCACAACTACAAGCTTGAGCTTTTGGTTGAGTTGGTTCCTTGACAACTGTAACTTTAAGGACTGCTTGTGACTATTTCTTCCTCTTTCGTTGAAAATGCAGATATGCTTATCCAAGGCATTTGTTCCAGTTATGCGATCAATGTGGCCAGGCATTGACGGGAATTCTGTAGGATCTAATGTGATGGTATCGAACATGCGTAAACGTGCTGTGCGAGCATCACTTTTTATGGTGCAGATGATGCAAGTTCCTATATACACAAAAGTGACTGAAACTCCCAATGAAGAAGATGAGTCTGTAAGCCATGATGATTCAGCAGGTCCTTCTTCAGAGTATGAGAGTGGAGAAGAAGGGCTCGCCATACGTATTGCTGCTGAGGTGAATGAAATTTATGGAGCTATCTTGTTCTGTTTTTATTTTGTTTCTTGACGATCTGTATAATTCATTTTTTTTTTGGCAATGGGGGGGGGAATCTTTCTAAGGTGACCAGCTTTGGTGGGAAGAAGACAGCTGCTGAGAAATCATATATATCTGCACTTTGTAGGACACTGGTGTTGCTCCATTTTCGATCATCAGAACAAGAAGCTGCCAAGCTAATGCGGCAGCTATTGAATCGTGTCTTTGAATCTGCAGCAGCTGAAAAAGACCTTGTTAAGGATTTGAAACAGATGGCTGAAAGGCTGCAGGCTTTAGACAGACACCCTGATCAGAAATTATCCTCAGATAAGGTTCAACTTATATTAGGTATGAGCATGTCCTTTTTAAATGTCATGTTTTTGTCATTTTGTGCATACACTTGGAAGGGATTGGAGTTGAAGGGAAGGAAATGGGGCATCTGAATGACCCAATAACAAGTGTGTGAAATATTGTGCCTTAAACCAGAGAGGTTAGAGGTTGAAGTGGAACTGGACGAGAACGTCACAATGGAAGTGCCACCTACCCCAGCACCAAGATCAACAAGACCGAACCGCGGCAGAAGAAGAGCCAGGAGAGAAAATGTGTCATCTTCTTCTTCTTCCTCGGACGAGGAGTTCTCGCCCTCATCTGTGGTCCCAGTCAATCCAGCTGGGGTAATGAGCACTCGGTCGCAGAGGGCTAGCAAGACGGTGGCACTCTCCAAGATGACTGCCAATAGAAGAAGAACAGCTAAGATCCAGGAGGAAGACGACGACGATGAAGATGAGGGTGATGGCTCAGAGGTGACTAACGATGACGACGATGATGATTCTGATGCCTTTTGATGATTAGTCATGCATATATGTAAGTGAATTCATCTGATCTGACAGTATGTGTGTGTGTGTGTGTTTGATGCTAAAGAAATGTCATTTGCACTCTACTGGAGGCAGTGTAAATAACGAAATACTCCCACCGTTTAAGAAAATTGAAATTGTGTTGTTGAAAGTGATGCACATGAGATAGAATGAATACGAGCCACGTATACATTTCAAAAATTAGAAAGTGGGGTGGGGGGGGGTTGAAATGTTCTAGAAAGAAAATGAGAACTATTACATACTGAGTGTTATTATAGGCAGTTCCTTAGATACTTCATCTCTTTCATAATTAGGGTTTAATGTAATGAATTATTGTCGTTTAAATTCAATTAATTAGTGAAATTTTATTAATTTAATTTTACAAAATGTGTATTCAAAATGTAAAAAATAGAATTTTGGAGCCCCAATTTGAAGCTCTAGGGCTTCGAACTTATTTTCAGTGAAATTGTGAGGTAATTAAAACTGACGTAACAAAGAGAAAAATTTTAAAGCTCTAATTTGAAGCTCAGAGCTTCAAGAGTATTTCCAAGGGGATTTTAACTAAATAGAACTAAAATATAACTCAATATAAGACTGAATGTTTTTATTTTTTCAATGTAAGACCATTAGTCATTATGCACTAGTTATTATTCAAGTAAATGTCCACCATCACTAGACGTTATATTAGAAAATAAAAAGGTTTAAGTCCTATATTAGAAAATGACTTATGTTTTAGTTTTATTTAGTGCAAATTTCACTATTTCCAATGTTCTAAGTCTTAATAATTGTTATGGTTTTAAATACTCCTTATTAGACCTTGACGAAATAGGATATCATGCTAAACTAACATTAATTCTTGCAAGTCCCCCCCCCCCGGAAATGTTTAATGAGACATTCATAATTGAATCGACTAAAAAAGTAATCTAAGGGTGCTAAAGCTCATTTATGATAAACCCTTCATATATAACTTTAATATTGTGAGATTTGCATTGAATAGGACTAAAACATAAGTCATTTTTCTATGTAGGACTAGAATTTTTTATTCCTTAAATAAGACTTAATAATGACTAGTGAGAAGAATAATGCCCAAGTGATGCTGGACATTTAGTTGAATAATGACTAATAGATAATGACTAATGGTCCTACATTGAGAAATAAAAATATATACTCCTATATTGAGAAAGTCATTATGTTTTAGTCCTATTTAGATAAATTATTCTTCACAAAATATTTCTCCGTATAAGTGTAAACAAATTGATACGGAGTACTTTTTTGTAATTATATTTCATATACATAGTAATATGTTTATTAAATTAAATGAAGCAAAAAAATGTTTATTAAATTATAGAATAACTTACTTAGTTACTTATATATCCGCCATTATGGTAAGGTATATCTTTGACTCTATATCAAATAACTTATGTGTATCCGTTTACACACTATATATGCTTTGCAGCCCCTTTAATTTGTTTTACCATTTCACTAAATTAAAAATAATGACTGCATTATTACCTTCTTCATCTTCTCTTATAACCTTTGTCTCTTTTATTATTCTTGCCTTTTCACCACCCTCTCTTCCCGCGCCGGCGCCCGCCGATGTCCTTCACGGGATATACGCCGGGTGCTCCATGCGCAAGTTCTCCCCCGGCTCGCCCTTCGAGTCAAACCTCAACTCGCTACTCGCCTCCCTGGTCAACTCGGCCTCGAACTCGTCTTACAACAACTTCACCGCGGCGGGGCCCACAGGCCAGGCCGCGGATGTGGTCCGCGGCCTGTACCAGTGCCGCGGCGACCTGTCCGCGTCCGACTGCGCGGCCTGCGTGTCGGGCACGGTCCCGCAGTTCCCCCACTTCTGCCCCTCCGCGACTGGGGGTGTCCTACAGATGGAGGGGTGCCTGGTGAAGTACGACAACGCGGACTTCATCGGCATGGAGGACAAGACGGTGGTGTACAAGAGCTGCGGGAGGCCCGACGCGGCGGCGGGGGCCCGCGTCGACGCCGTGCTGGGGAGCCTGAGGGGCCCCAGTGGGGTCCACGGGGGGGTCGATCAGGCGCTCGGGGTATCGCAGTGCGTTGGGGATCTGAGCTACGACGAGTGCCAGGATTGCTTGGGGGAGGCGATCGGACGGCTGAGGTCGGAGTGCAATGGGACCGCCGTGTCCGGTGACATGTTCTTGGGCAAATGTTACGCTAGGTACATGTTGGGCCAATCTCAAGAGGGTAAGCATTCACATACTCATTTTTTACGAGTATTATTTACTTCTTAAAATTTTTAATGCAATTTTTTTCAATATTTATATTTGTACCAGTATATTCTTCTCGTAGATTTAAAGTTTTTAATGCAATATTTTGATTATTTTTATTTATACAAGTACACTCCCTGTATTTGTCTAATTTAACTTTTTTGAGTCAAACTGGATAGACTTTACACTTCAATTACTCATAATTTGTATGTATGACATATTTGTATAATATTTGAAAATTCTCAATAAGATAATTCAATTCTAATAAAATTATTTTTATGCTAAAATAAATTATGATTTGTATTTATTAATTTAATTATGATTTATATTCATCCAGTTTTAAAGTATACAATGGGAAGAAGTTTGGTTCTCTTAATTATTACAGTAGCTACTTACTAGACCAGCTAAGAGATTGCCCTTCCAAATAAAAATTAATTGCATATGACATTTAATTTGTATTTTAGAAATTTACGTTTTTGGAAAATGCTTGGTTCACAAACAAAATTGTCACAAACTTCACAAACTCACTATTTGTGAACTTTAATAAATAAGATTAAATAGTCTAAACTAATTTTAAAATGAAAATTTAAATTATAAATAGTAAGTTTGTTAAGTTTGTGAGTATCCAATTTGTGATCGTAGCATTGCTCTTTTTGTTTTTAATTGGAGGTGTGATGCAGAGTCTAATGGTCTGGTTGAGAAGGCAAAAGCATTAGCCACAAATCATATGGTCTTGGGAATAATAGCTGGAATATTATTGGTGCTGCTCCTCATCTTTTGCTGCATCCTCCAACGCAAATGCAAAAAACGAAAAGGTATGTATGCATGAGATGGATAAAAGGCCTTCATAAAAATCTTTCCAGTTTTGATTTTCAAAAGATTTAATGGGCGTGTATTTTGATATTGACTTTCCAAAAATATCCTTACATGTGACGGATAAATTAATAGTAAAAAAATATGATGTGGTAGATATGTTAAGATTAGGAGCGGTAAAAGTAATAAGTTTTTATTAAAAATGAGAAAGGTATTTTGGGACATATGAAAAAAGACAGAAAAAACGTTTTATAGGACGGGAAAAGAGTAATTAATAAGTTTTTTCTTCTCAACTTTAATGGATCATCACTTTGACTTTATAATGATTATATTATTACCAATTTATAAATAAAATAATTTCAAAAGGCGAGAAATTTTACTCCGTAAATTCTAATTTGTAATCAAGTTTAGGACGGAGTGAGTTGTAAGTAGAGATGATATGATAAATAAAATAATACGGAGTACTTCATAATTAGTAGGGTAAAAGTTAAAGTAATTTTTGAATAGAATGTAATTCTAAGTTCTAACACATACGGCATATTTTTTTTTTTTGTAGACCCAACTCCTGCGCCTCCTCCATCTCCTCTACCCGCTAAAAGGAGTCGTAGCGCTCCACGGAGGTACTCTTATTTTCGGTTTCGGTGGCTTTCTCATCTCAAATGCTTCTTTCTTTTTTTCATACCCTCCATCGCATAAATGATCATACATTATTACATTTATTGTGCAAAATTGAAAACTAAATCAAAACTTCTACAAAATAATAGAACAAAAAAATATTTTATTTTATCAAATAATCAAGAAAAATGTACAAATTAAATGAACAAGGTATATTGTCGTAATTTTGCATCAGTGCATATCGTAATTAATTGTGACACAAAAAGAGTATTAATAAAGGTTACCGTTATTTTTTTAAAGTGATCACATGAACTTTTGCTATTTATTTGTTTCTATTGATAATTTGATAAAATAGGACCCATTTATTTTGTAAAACTTTTAAACTAATTTTTTAATATGTAAACTTTTTAAATACTAATTTCTTAAATAAAATGAATTTAAAAAATTTATTTTACCTTGTAGTTTCTTTGGTAACTGCCTAACTGGCTAGTATTCCTTTAGAATTAGCATTAAAAAATTTATTTTTAACTTTAAATTATAGTAAAAAAAATTATATTCAAAAATTTATTTTTAAAAACAAACATAAATATTCCGAATAATACTCTACAAGATATATTCCTTTTCTTAAAAGGAAAAAGTTAAACGTGTAATTTTTTTCCTTAGGCGGAAGAGAATAAACAATACCCCTTTATTTTTTAACAAACAAAAAGGCGTTAGTCCTTTAAAAAAAGGCGTTGGAAATAGATGTAATTTTATTTATATATTCTCTTAGTATATACTCCGTATCATACTTCCGTAGAAAAATTTCATTCCCAATTGATCCAATAAAGTATACGTTAAATAGAAATAAACTTTATACAATTATACTCGGTAGTTAAAATTTAAGCAAACTAACATAATCCTATTTTTCTTCCGTCCCGAAGTGTTCGTCAATTCTCATTTGACTTTTCTTGGTCAAAGTTTGTAAATTTTGACTCCGACGTACATGGAAAAAAATAAAAATAAAAATATATTGTATTATGATATAAATTTAACACGAGTGTCAATATATTGATATTGAAACGTAGTTTTGTAATATCAAATGTTTAAAAAATATATTTATGTATAAATATAAATAACAATGGTCAAAGTGCAACATTAAAGATAGTGAAAAATCAAATGTAAAGAACATTATTGGACGAAGGAAGGCTTCTCTTTTTTATAGATGGGAAGAAGCATTTTATTTAAGGTAACGTTTGAAACTTGCAGGTAAATATAAGGCCCATGTAGAACATCTCTAACAATGGAATCTTGGGGCTACGTATTCATTATTGGCTTCTGGTGGAGGCATTATTCTCTTGATTTTCTGTTCATTTATTTATTGTAAATGAAAGTAGATTGTGAATGAAAGAGCTAGTAGAATATATATATACGTAGTATATACTCCGTAGTAAATATGTAGATGATGATATAGGGATATGTACATTGTGAAGTGATTCGAATTTTAAACCACTTCATTCAGTTATGTTATTATTATACCACAAGACAATTGCACTAAAAAAATACAAAAAATTAATTATGTGTTTCAAAATAAATTTTAAAAATTCTTTTTTTAGTGGTCTTGAAATAAATTGTACTTTTCTTTTTTTATAACTCCCTCCATCTACCAAAGATCTTCCCAAGTTCCCATTCCGCGTTATGAGTTTTGATCAAATTTATTTTTAATCTAATTTATTCAATTGTAAGAATAAAATTCAAAAATAAAAATTATATAGTAAAAAAGTACATGAAAAATTTTACAAGACTGCAGGTGACAAGACTATATTATTTTATGAAATAAGTAGTAAAAATAAGTAAATAAAGTGAGTAAAGTTTGACCCTAGGAATAGTATCTGAGAAGATTTATTATGGACAGAGGGAGTACTATAATGTGACTGACAATTTTTATCTCTTTTTATTTAGTACTTTTAAATTTATTATTCCGGCCTCGGCACTCCCCAGGGTGCAGGGTCAGGTTTAGGGTGTAGGAGCCAGACATGAGGGTTATGTAGGACGAAATTACCAATTTTTTGAATATATAAAACACCAATATAACAGTCCTAAATCTTTTAAGACTAAAAAAGAATATAATGAGAATATGATGTAAGAGTGTTGGCAGTGCGATGGAAAAATGATGACGGTGTAATATGTCAATGTGACCAGAAAATTGATGACGGTGTAATATATATATATATATATATATATATCAAATGGTTATAAAATATTTTAAAATCTAAATGAACTGAATATTTTTAAACGAACCGAATATATTTAAACGAATCGAATATTTAAACGAACCGAATATGTTTAATATATTAAACGAACCGAATACGAATCTTAAAAAATATTTGAACCGAATTCGAATTCGAATATCATTCCATCTTAACGAATATGAATATTTTTCATGAATATTCGATTTGATTTGGTTCGTTTACAACCCCACAATCAACCACTGGCGAACCATCAATCAACGTCGATAATCGACGACGACGACGGATGGCAGTGTGGCAATCGGCAAGTGCAGTGTAATAATACTCTTTTTGGTCTAATAATACTCTCTTTGTTCTAAAATTAACTTTTTTTTAACATTTCACGTTTTTCAATGCAACACTTTGACTATTAATATCTCTATTTTTATATAAATGTATATTATATAAATAGTATATTTTAAAACTATGTTTCAAAATAAATCTATTGATAATGAATTTATTTAAAAATTTAATGTATTTTTACATAATATGCAGTAAAAACATAAAATTACTTACAAAAATCAAATTGAGAAGTTAATTTTAAGATGGGGGGAGTATTAAGAGAGGGCTTCTGCCCATTTTGAAAAATGCTAGGGGTACACCAAAAGTGTACCCCATATGTCCCTCACTCCCTCCTTGTCCACTGAAAAAGACAAAATAATTTTAAAAAAATAAGGAAATAAAAATTGAATAAAAATGTGTGGTGGAGAAGGGGTGGTGTACACTTGGGGTACACCTTTTGGTGTACCCCTAGCATTGCTCACCCATTTTTCATTTTCAAGTCACAAACTTTTTTCTTTTATGAAACCTTGAGTCCGGATCTACTAACTCCGTCCCAGAATATTTGTCCACTTTTATTTTTACACACCATCCAATATACTTCTTTAATCCATTTTATCTTGTAATTTGTATATTAAAAAATTATAGAAATTATATATTAATAATCTATATGTTAAGACAAATTAAACGAGATCATACAAGACCATATGTAGGCTTACACATTGAGAGAATTTGATGAGTCAAAGTGCTTAGATGAATAATTCCAAAAGTCAAAACTGGACGAATACTCCGGAACCGGGAGTATTTCAACAATGTTCTTTGGCATCTCTAAATTGGCGTGAAGTTTGTTTTAAGAGAGGAGCCTCTGAACATTCAACATCAACAACCGCCTTCATTTCTTCACCTAACACAAATGGCGTTGGAGTGGGTTGTGCTAGGCTACGCCGCCGGGGCGGAGGCGATCATGGTGCTCCTCCTCACCCTCCCGGGTCTTAACCCGATCCGAAAGGGTCTCATCAGCGTAACCCAGAGCATGCTGAAGCCTCTATCTTCCATCGTCCCCTTCGGCTTGTTCCTGATGATGGACATCTACTACAAGTACGAGACCCGACCCGTCTGTGAATCGCCGGAGGCTTGCTCCCCTTCGGAGCACCTCCGATTCCACAAGTCGATCATCAAGTCTGAGCGGAACGCCCTTCTCATCGCCTCCGCGCTCTTCTTCTACTGGATGCTCTACTCCGTCACCAACCTTCTCGTCCGCATCGATCAACTCCAACAGCGCCTGGAGAAATTGAGGAACCAGGATTGATTGCTTCGGGTCTCGCGGCGGATCGGGTCGATTTGCCCACTTTAGGGTTTCGGATCAGATAAGCCCCCTTTTTTGTGCGATGTTACTGTTTCTATATCTTCTTGGACTTCTCCTTCTGCTTTTTTATCTGCTTTTGTGTGTTCTTATTTCCCGATTATTTAGAAGTTGGGATCGAATTTGGACATGAATACGTTTGAGTCTTTTCTTTCTTGATCTGGTGCCATTTCTATTCACAGTATTCTAAATATTCTGTGACTAAATTCATAAGGTTCTTGCAATCAAAATATGAATTTTGGGAGACATGAGAGTTTACCAAAATGAAAGATTTAGCCCTTCTTTGGGAACAACGCTTTTGATTAGCGTTAGCGTTTTAGATAAAATTTAAGTGTGTAGATTAATTCTGAAAACGCCAATACTAATGGCTACTGTCGGATAACCTTTTCAAAACGCTAAGTGTTGTAAGAATTGATGTGTAAAAGAACTGAGTTGTAACTTGCAAGTCCTCTGTAAAATCTATCCTTAAACTTTACACAGAGGAGAGAGCCTTTTTACTGAGCTATATACTCCTTGCTCCATGGGAATCAATCTGCTTCAGGAAAATGAATGTTACTCTTTGACGAAAAGAGGGAGCCATATTCAAGAAATGTTCAAAGAAACAAGGAAAATATTTTGTTTTGGGGAAATGATTTTTGGTCCAGTGATTTCCTGTGTGTAGCACCAAAGAATCCAGAAAGTTTTTTTTTCCTTCCACACTTATCATGGAGCAGAGTATAATGCCAATTTCATTGGAAGATGGATACCAATAAGTAGTTATGAAAACAAATTTACCTGTGTAATAAAGAGTTGGCTTTTTGTGTTAGATCCTTGATGCATTTTTTCTTCATTTTCTAGCCATAGCTTGAAAGAAAGTAGTAATCATAAAGTTTTACCGAACAATTTTACGGAGTATTATTTATCTTTGTTAGAGCATAAATCATCTCTTCGCCTTCCGATTACAAAGCTTGGCTCTTGCTTCAATTAGTTCTTTGACATCGTATCAAAACTCTCAAAATAGAGGTCATGAGTTTGAGGAGTAAATCACAGTATAATCTTAGTTTGACCTTTCGAGAATAATTGCATTTGAGTTTGCAATTGAAGCGTGATCAGACGTAAATAAAGCCCGGGCGGGCATATTTACCTTCGGATGCCCGACCCATAATCTCCTTGGGTCATCGGCAAGCGGGTCAGTCCCCTGGAGTCTTGAACTCATCAATATTGGGTTTTATCCATCAGGATATATTGGGCCCGATCCCCAAACCTCTATCTTATTGGGTTGAACAAATACACCGGACAAGCAACGGTCAAGGATATGGACCCGTATTTCTTGGGCTCTAGCTGTATTTATCATTGGAAGAAGCCCAAGGTGAACTATGGAGCAAATAACAGTGTAGCCTAAGAGGAGGGATTTATTCTTTTTCTCTTCAATATTTCTTTCATTCAAAAATTACTCACTCCGTTCCAAATTATTTGCCACATTTGTATTTCTGAGGCAAAATATCAAGTTTTTTCAATTCATTTTATTTACATATTGGTATAGAAATAAAAAACAAAATTTACATATTAAAAAACTACATGAAAAATTCTTCGAAATAAGAGGTGTCAAGAATATTTTATTTTATCAAATAACCAATGAAAACGTCAAAATAAACAAAAGTTCTTGCGACTGCTGAAAAAGCAAATGTTGTGAATATTTAGGGACGGAGGGAGTATCTTATTAAGTTATTACGGAGTATTTACTATTATAAAGTTAGGGGCTGTTTGTTTCAGCCTCTTAATGGCTCAGATGTCTCAATGGTTTAGCACTTAATGATTCAGACTGTTTGTTTCAGCCTCTTAATGGTTCAGACATTTGCCTCTGAATAGTTAAGTATTATACAGAGTCTGAATGGTTAAGACCTCCTATCTGAATTGATCGCCTCTGAATAGTTAAGCAATATACTAGCTCTTAATGGTTCAGACCTCTTACTGGTTCAGCACTTAATGGTTCAGACATCTTACTGGTTCAGCACTTACCTATTCAGAAGTTGCCAAACAGCCCCTTTGTTTTTTGTTGCTTTTTTGATAAAACAACATAATCATGTCATCTCTAGTTTTATAAATTTTAAATATAATTCTTAAATATGTAATTTTTATTTTTTAATTCCACACAATTTTTCATAAAAAATGATTTAAAAATAACTTCAGTAAAATATTGTAACGAGCAATGAGAATTTTTTTTGGACAAAAGGAGTATAATATTAAGCTCTGCTCTTTTCAATCATAATCGTCAAAAAATTCCCTCCTAATAAAAGTTTAATCACATTTTTAGTTTTTAATGTTTTACTTAGATTTTATAATGTAAAAATGCAAAGTTAATTGGGAAAAATATAAATAAACTTTTTATCCTATTAGAAGGTTTCTTATTTTTTTCTCTGCTCCAATTTTTTTTATTTCCTCTTTATGGAAAAATCCCATAGTACATATTCCGTCTGTCCACCATAGATCTTCCCAGACACTATTTACAGGGTCAAACTTTACTCACTTTGTTTGTTCATTTTTACTAATCATTTCGTAAAATAATAGTCTTGTTACCTCTAGTTTTGTAGGACCTTTCATGTAGTTTATTACTATATAAATTTATTTTTAAAATTTTACTCCTATGTTTGCCTATGTTTGTTGTTGACTCGGGCTCATTTGTTTTTATATTCTTTGTACTTAGATTTCAATAATATTTACATGTCACCAAAAAAAACTATGCAACGTTCACCAACAACAGCAAATAATACACTTAAATAGAGAGTATATTCAGGGATGGGGGAGTATAAAACAGGTGGATTTGATGTAGCTGTATGTCCAGTTGTCCACGATGCCAAATAGACCTGCGTGCAACGGTCTTTTGATCCATTTCCCCTCTTTTTTAAGTAATTGTTTTTCCCCTCCCCAATTATACACACAGTACCCACCCTACCCTCCTCTGTCAATTTACCCGTCCCATCTCTCTCTCTCTCTCTCTCCCAAACGATGAAGTAGCGATACTGACAAGAAAAAGAAGAAGAAGAAGAAGATCAAAGAAATACTGCATTTTGGAATGCGAATAATTCTTCTACTGCTTCATATTCTTGTTGTTCTGTGTATGTGTAACTGACAAATTTACCCTCGTCGTCTTCTTCTCATCGTTTTTTTCCTGATCAGAAGAATATATAAATATACAAGAATGAGGTCTTTCTTCTTTTGCTTTGCTGTCTCCGTTTGTCACTTTCTCTCCATTCTCCCGCCCGCCGCGCCGGACCTCGCCTCTGACCGCGCCGCCCTCTTGGCTCTTCGCTCCGCTGTCGGCGGCCGCTCGCTCCTATGGAACCTTTCCGATTCCAGCCCCTGTTCTTGGCCGGGCGTCCAGTGCTCCTCCGGCCGGGATTTCGTCGCCGAGCTCCACCTCCCCGGAATGGGTCTTTCCGGCGTCATTCCTCCCGGGACGATTGGGAACCTCACGCGCCTCCGCACCCTGAGTCTGCGCTACAATGCACTCTCCGGTCACCTCCCTTCCGGCCTCTTCTCCTCTCTCCGGGATCTCCGGAAAATCTACCTCCAGCACAACTTCTTCTCCGGCGACATTCCCGCGGATATCTTCTCCTTGCCCAACCTCGTCCGCCTCAATCTCGCCCACAATAACTTCTCCGGTTCGATCCCCCCTTCTGTCAACAAGCTCACGCGTTTGTCCACTCTGTACCTGGAGGAGAATCACTTCTCCGGCGAGATTCCGGACCTGAACATTCCCGGATTGGCCCAAATCAACGTGTCTAGCAACCAGCTGACCGGGCAGATTCCGGCAAAGCTCTCGGCTCGGCCCAAGACGGCGTTTCAGGGAAACTCTCTCTGCGGAAAACCGCTCGATCCCTGCAAAGGGCAGCCGGAGAAGAGCAGAAAGAAGCTCTCCGGTGGGGCAATTGCCGGAATCGTGATTGGCGCCGTGTTCGGGCTGATTTTAATTCTTCTCCTGTTGCTCTGTTTGTGCCGGAAGAGGGGCGAAAGAGAAGTCAGATCCACCGACGCTGTGGGAATCAAGCAGGCAGAGATCGAAATTCCACCGGCGGAGAAGGAGACGGCTTCCGGCGGGGGAGCAGCCGCAAAAGAGATCGAGGAGGCATCAAAGCCTCCGGCGAAAGGGCGGGGAGGAGCGAAGAGCTTGGTGTTCTTTGAGAGGACGGGAGGGGAAGGGAGGGAATACGACATGGATGATCTCCTGAAAGCATCTGCAGAAGTGCTGGGAAAGGGCACTTTCGGAACAGCTTACAAAGCGGTTCTGGAGGCGGGGATCACGTTGGTGGTGAAGAGACTGAGGGAGGTGACGGTGGCGGAGAAAGAGTTCCGGGAGAAGATTGAAGGGGTGGGGAAGATGAACCACCCCAATCTGGTGCCCCTCAGGGCCTACCATTACAGCCAAGATGAAAAGCTTCTGGTCTATGATTATGTCCCCATGGGAAGCTTATCTGCACTTTTACATGGTATGAATTCAAATCACTCTTCTTCTTCTTCTTCTTCTTCTTTAACAAACCTAATCTACATTTGTTTACATCATTTGATTTTCTCCTTAATTAGGCATGAAACTTGTTTTTGTGTCGGTGCTTCTACATTGCTTTAAGCATTTCATTTTTGAATGGGAATCTCTTTAAAAAAAACTCTTTATTGTTAGACACTTTCTCTAAGGCCCTACTTCTTCTGAGATTTTACTGGGTTTAGCGGTTTTGTCGTGCTTGCAATGAATTAGAATTCATATCTCCAACCTTCTTCATCGATGGTTGTCTTCCAACGAGCGGGGTCAAAGACTGAATCCTATCGATAAGGTCTATATATTACATGTTGGCCAAATAACACTAGTATCCACCGTGATTTGAAAATGAGAAATTAGACACTAATGCCCTCTATGGTTTAGAAATGAGCACGAATGCCCTATGATTTAGAAATTAGGCACCAACGCCCCCTCTTCGTTAGAAAATAACCAGAAAATGGTCATAGGGGGTGTGATGCAATGTTTTGAAACCATAAGAATTTTAGAAATAAATTTTTAAAACATAGAGAATATTGGTGCCATTTTTTCCAAATCACATGAGGCACTGAAACTATTTGGCCCTTCATTCAATTTTTTTTTGGCAAAAAGTGCATTTATTTGTGCTAAATGCACCTTTTTTTGTTTGCTAAAAAGATGTGAATGAATATATGATAAATGTATCTTATTGCTGAAAAGTTAAATGAGTGTTTAATAAATGCACTCTATTAACAACTCTTGGAGCTGTCATTAGCAAAACCAATCAATACAATTGCATTGATGTCCACTTTGAATGTGTAGTAGATATATATTTAAAGATAAAGATTATACAAGTACAACAAGAAAGGTGAGGATGACAAGTTGTAAACAGTCTTTTCTTCACTTCAACTGCTTTTTTTCTTTTTTTTTTTTTACTTTTAAACTTACCCTCACCAGCCTACATTCAATCTAAGACTACACACTCTCATGAAATTCAAATTATGGAATTGGAATTGAGGGTTTCAATTTCAATTTTGGAGTTTGGTAGCACAAAAATTATGCGAATTTGGAAATGATAGTGCAAAAAAATGAATTGGAATAGGTGAATTCAATTTTATAGAACTGAATCCATGAAATTTTAATTCCAATTCAATTCCAATTCCATCAATTCCGTATGCCAAACAGACCCTTAAGATGGGATGGCTTTTAAGGCTCACCAATGCCAAAACTTTGTTCTATACAGTTGTCTCCAATTTAGGCCATAACTCATATACATAGCTTAGACATTGTTTTTCAACTTTTCCTCTTTAGGGCAAACTGCAAACATAGCCTACTATTTGTACTCATCATATTAACTAACAATTATGACTTTCTTGATAAATTAAAAAAATGAATGAATGGAAGGAATAAAGGATGTGTTTGGTAGTGTTTTTTAAAATCTCACCATCTACCATTTTTTATGTAATGTATGGTACAGGCAATAGAGGAGGAGGAAGGACACCATTGAACTGGGAAACAAGAACTTCAATAGCCCTAGGGGCCGCCAAGGGCATCTCCTACCTCCATTCCCAAGGCCACTCCATCTCACATGGCAACATTAAGTCATCAAACATCCTCCTCACCAAATCCTACGAGCCCCGCGTTTCCGACTTCGGCCTCGCCCAGCTCGTCGGCCCGTTCGCGAGCCCCACGCGGGTCGACGGGTACCGGGCGCCCGAAGTGACCGACCCGCGAAGACCATCCCACGCCGCGGACGTGTACGGCTTCGGGGTTCTCTTGCTGGAACTGCTGACGGGCAAGTCGCCGGCGACCCATTCCCCGACGGGCGACGAAGGGGTCGACCTCCCGAGGTGGGTCCAGTCGGTCGTGCGCGAGGAATGGACGTCCGAGGTGTTCGATGTCCAGCTCCTCAGGTACACGAACGGCGGCGACGAGGAAGATATGGTTCAGCTGCTGCAGCTCGCTGTTAACTGCACGGCGCAGTACCCGGACAAGCGCCCGTTAATGACCGAAGTTACCGCCCGGATCGAGGACCTGGTTTCGGGTTCCAGTTCAAAGGACCACACCACGGATGACAACGAAGATCAGATACACAATGATATGTGATTAGTTCAAAACCTAGCTTTGTGTTTGCTTTTTTTTCCTTCTCTCAATATTATTATATTTCGTGTTCACATTCTTAATTGATTTGGTGGTTGTATACATGAATGGTTGGCTATAAGCTAATTATTGATTGGCCTGTTTTTCAGAGTAATTAATTTTTCGTTGTGTGAGATGTACGATATATAAATACAACGTTTTTTTTTGAAGCAAAGGGAAAAAAATTATATTAATGAAATGATGAAGTCAGGGGGAGAAATGTTCCATTCTCCCCTGCTCTGAGGTGAATGAGAAGCTCGCGCTAGTATATGCGCCGCCTCATTAGCAGAGCGATATACAAAGTGAAAATGAAAAATCCCATCGCACGAAGCCAATAGGGATTTACAATCAGTAATAATCGAAGAGAAATAAGACCAATCATCAAAAGAGTTTTTCAGTGCATCCACAACCTCCTTACAATCGGTTTCGATCTCTACCTGCATCCAACCTTTTGATTTGATCCAACTAAGGGCCTCTTTAACTGCCACCGCCTCTGCCTCCCTGGGACCGTAGCTGCCCCTAAAAGATTTATTTTTAGCCGCCAAAAAAACTCCAAGGTCATTGCGAGCGATGAAACCCACTCCCATCATATCGTCAATCAAGCCTGTAGATGCATCAATATTAACCTTCACAAATCCATCACGTGGTCTTGACCATGAACTTCTTGTGACCCCCACTGGTGTTCTTGCCATTGGCGAAGCTAACGACCACCACTCCTCAAAATGAGCTTTAGCTTTTAGCCACGTACCTATAGGGGTCGAGTTTTTACCCCGCCAAACTCTGTCATTTCGGGTCTTCCAAATTGAGCACAATATGTGAAACACTAATGCTTGATCCCTCTGGTTGAAGAGGTTGAAAATCTTTTCTAGCCAAGCGATGAAACCGTTGACATGGGGCGTGTACCAGTCCAAGATAGAGGTTGTCCACACCTGTCGTGCAAAGCTGCAAGAAACAAAGAGATGCAACACCGTCTCCTCGGAGCATTGGCACAACGGGCATATATTTTGAATCAGCATCCCTTTACGTGCAAGATTATCTAGCACCGGCATTATGTTATTTGCAGTCCGCCAGATGAGATTACGAATAGTAGGTGTGGTGTGGACTTGCCAGAGTTTCCTCCACACTGATTTCGAGCTGCTGTCATTGACCACACTCTCATCCCATGTTAGCATACGATATGCACTCTTAACCGAATACAGACCTGACTTGTCCCTAGCCCAAATGAGCTTGTCAACTTGGGCAGAGTGTGAGAGAGGAATAGCTTGAATAAGTCGACGGTCCCGAACTTCGAAAACGAAATCAATAGTTTGCCAGTCCCAAACTCCATCTTTAATAAGATCCGCAACCTTTCGAATATCTTGCCTTCCTGGATCCCGTGTCAAAACCCACGGGTGATCCTTATCTCCAAGCCAGGGGTCCTCCCAAATATTGATCAAAGAACCATCCCCTACCTTCCATCGAAGGCCCCTGTGTAAGACCCCCTGGGACTCTAAGATACTCCGCCAAACGTAGCTTGGATTAGATCCAATTCCCGCCTCCAGGAAACTTGAGTTTCGAAAATATTTGGCTTTGAAGACTTTAGAAACCAGAAGATCAGGGTGTTGGACAAATTTCCAAGCCATTTTTGCCAACATGGAGAGATTAAATTCACGAATCCTCCTAAAGTTAAGTCCCCCAGAGTCTTTATGTCGACACAAACGCTCCCAACTCATCCAGTGAATACTCCTCTTATGTTGCGGGCCTTTGCTCCACCAAAACTTAGCCATCTGGCTTTGAAGTTCATCGCACATAGTCTTTGGAATCAAAAAGAGAGACATTGCATAGGTGGGGATCGATTGGAGAACAGATTTAAGTAGAACTTCTTTACCTGCTTGAGTAAGAAGTTTATTTTTCCAAGAGTGAAGACGCTTCCAAGTTTTCTCCTTGATATATCTTAATGCTTCTCTCTTATTTCGCCCTAATGATGCTGGCTGGCCGAGATATCTTCCAAGTTCTTCCGTCTCTGTTATTCCAAGCTTAGCACAAATACTAGCGCGTAATAAGGGAGATGTGTTTGGGCTAAAGCAAATTGCAGATTTATTCAAGTTAATGTACTGTCCTGATGCAGCGGCATAAATACTCAAAATAGAATGGATGTGAGTTGCCTGAGCATCTGTAGCTTTGAAGAAAAACAGGCTATCATCTGCAAAAAACAGGTGGCTGATTTCTGGTGCTCCGCGTGCCACTCGACAGCCCGTCACCTCCCCCATACTGACTGCTTGTTGTAACAACCGTGAAAGACCTTCAGCTCCAATAATGAAAAGATAAGGCGAAATAGGATCACCCTGCCTGATGCCCCGACTAGGAACAATGGGACCGATGCATTTATTTCCATGACGAATCGTATAGGAAGCAGAAGTTGCACAACTTAATAACAGAGATACTACTTTGACGTGAAAGCCCATAGCGTGCAAGACAGCCTCTATGTAAAACCACTCCATGCGGTCATAGACCTTACTCATATCAATTTTCATTGCCGCCCAGCCCGACTGCCCTTTTCTCTTATTCCTTATGTGGTGTAGCGTCTCAAAGGCAATGGCACAACAATCATGAATGTCCCGACCTGCTACAAAACCACTTTGGGTTGGCGAGATGATCTTTGGAAGGATGTTTTTCAGTCTAGATGCCACCATTTTACTAATAATTTTATAAAGCACTCTACAGAGAGCTATAGGTCGGAGATCACTCATGTCTTCTGGTTGTGATTTTTTAGGGATAAGCACAATTTCTGTAACTCCAAGAGTGGCTGGAATAATCCCAGAATTAAGATGTCCTATACAGAATTCTGCTACTTCCGACCCAATAATATCCCAATAACGATGGAAAAATCCCGGGTTAAAACCATCGACTCCTGGCGCCTTATCTGGGTGCATAGCGAACACTGCTTTTTTCACTTCCTCTGTTGTGTAAGGTTGTAAAAGAAAGAAGTTGTCTTCACTGGAAACTGCAGGTGAGATTGCATCCAATATGGGCTGCTGTGGACCTTGCTTAGAAGTGAACAGACTGGTATAATACTGTAGAATATTCTCTTCCAGACCACTGCCCCACTCGCACCAGATGCCTACTTCATTTTTGAGTTTATCAATTTTATTCTTTCTTAGGCGTTCTGTTGCCCTTGCGTGAAAGAACCGTGTGTTCCGATCCCCGTTCCTTAACCAAAAAACTTTTGCTCGTTGTTTCCAGAATTGTTCCTTTTGAGCAAGGAGGTCAAAAAGTCTACATCGGGATCTCTGGTAGATAAGGCGACTTCGATGATCCCTCCGACCTTTAGTTCTACTCATATTTAGTCTCATGAGTTTAATATCAGCTGCAAAAGTATCCCTCCATTCCTCTCCCCAGACCTTGAGCCTCTCTGCGCACAACTTGAGTTTATCCTCCAAACAATATGTCTCAAAGAGATTCGAGCAATCCAACAACAAAGACCTACATGCTGGTTCTTTTCCCCATGAGTTCTCAAAGTGAAAGCGATGTGATTGTTGCCTTGGAACCCAGCTTTCAGCTGTAGGCAGATAGGAAGATGATCAGATGAGGAGAAATCATATGTAAACGCCTTCGCCATGGGAAATTTCTGCCTCCAAGAAGCTGAAGTCAAAAAACGGTCCAGTTTTTCCTCCACAAATGCAGCTCCTTCTCTTTCATTATTGTAAGTAGAATTGTAACCAGTCATCGGGAGCTCAGATAAACCGGCATCAAAAATTGCACTTTTAAAGGCCTGCATAAGGTACTCGGGTTTGGGTTGGCCCCCTCTCTTCTCTGATTGGGCAAGAATGGCGTTGAAATCACCTCCACATATCCACGGTAAATGAGTGTCTTGAGCAAGGTCACGGAGCAAATCCCAAGTCACACTTCTTCTGGACTGATCAGGATGGCAATAAAAACCTGTGAATCTCCAGCTCCCCAGAGTGGAATCTGAAATAATAACATCAATATGGAAGCGTGAAGTAGATAAAAGAGACACTTGCAAAGGGGGCTTCCAAAAGAGAGCTAAACCCCCACTGTGTCCAATTGCATCAACTGAAAAACAAGATTCATAACCCAAAATAATTTTTATATCATCAATCCTCTTGGAGTCACATAAAGTTTCAATGAGAAAAATAAAACATGGCTTAACATCCCTAACAATATTTTGTAGGGTGTGGACTGCTCGTGGGTTGCCAAGCCCACGACAGTTCCAACTAATACAACTCATTGCATTAGGCGGGCCTGCAACACAGGTCCCGCCTCCTTCACGTTTTTTGGATCTGATACAGATGAGAGCAAAAGTTCTTTATCGCCATTGCCCTTCATATCAATCTTCCTCTTTTTGGGATCCGATATCACGACAGACTCCTGGTGCACTGATTCACCCATCACTGTAGCTTGCCCCTCTATTCCATTAGCTTGAGGTTGCATCTGTTGCATGAGAGTAGTTGAATTATGATGTCTTGCCTCATTGGCAGATGCAGGTGCTTCCTTTTTGAGTGCAGGGAGTTCATCTCTCAACCATTTAGAACCGATGCCAGTTGTGGATCGTTTAGGCAGAGCACGCAACTCAGGACCATACTGTCGGGCTACTTCTTTACCCCAATTCCTTGAAACAATGGGACAAAATCGTTCCCCATGGCCGAGACAACCACAAACAAAACAAAAGGCTGAAAGTCGTTCATAAGCAAATGAAACCTGGAACCAATCTTCCCCTTCTCGCTTCATCTTCGTGCCTTTTCGCAGAGGTTTACGGACATCCAATTTCACTCGTATCCTTAAATGTCGCCCAGGGATTGGAGTAGTTCTTGGGGTCTGATTCCATGAATTCTCCAATCTCGTTGCCTAGTCGTTGAGCCACCCGTTCTGAGAAAAAGCCTCTCTTAAGTCCATGGACCTGAACCCAAATAAACATTGAATGCAGGGGGACATCCCTAGGGTCATTATAACTCTTTAATCGATCGAGTATGAGAGCTTGATTGTTGAAAGTCCAAGGGCACATATCCAAGACCCGCTCTAGCTCTGCCTCTGCCCCGAATTGGAAGACGTAAATTCCATCGCCCAGATCTCTAACAACCATACCTTCATCCGGCCGCCAAAGAGATGCCATAGTGTTCTTCATTGCGGTAAAATTTATGGGACGCTCCGTTAAGAATCTCCCGACTAGGCAGTTGTCGTAGTCGGTTGTTACACCGCACGCATTGTCCTCTGCATCAGCGAACACCAAACCTTCATGTTCCTCGTCATCCAGAGATAGTGAAGCCATGTCGATTTGTACCTGATTCCTTTCCATGGTGAAAATCGATCAAAAAGAAAGCCCTAAATTGGGGATGGGATGGACATGCATATATGCTACACAAAACCGGCCTACTACATGACAACTGTGCCATGTGAGTGTATGTGTGTGTATATATGTGTGTGTGTGTGTGTGTGTATATATATATATATATATATGAATATTATTTAGAGTAAAGAGAATGGTTTAATCTGTTCTTTTTTAACATAAAAGTGAACAATTTATTTTGAGACGGGCAGAAATAAAAAGAAAGTACGGAGTAATCCATTTACGAAATATGTTAAAGAGTGTCCAACATCAAAACTTGTAAAGAAAATAAATTGGTACATAAACTCATAAGTTAAATTATGTAATTGATTAGATTAAGTTTCTTCTTGTCCAATCCAATGGTCCGAACCTCATCCTAAATTCTAGCAGGATAGGGATAAATGGAGCAGATTATTTGTTCAATTTTGACTTTTTTCAATCAATCGTCTTGAATCTTTGATCTATAATTAAATAAAATATATATTGTATATTAATTAGATAAAATATATTTTGAAAATATTTTACTATAAAATAAATCTAATAATTTTTTCCAATATCTAATACTCCGAAAAAGGTCAAAAGTTTACCAATTTTGACCGAAAAAAATCAAACGTGGACAAATATTCCGGGACGGAGGGAATACTTTCTTATACTCCAGCCAAATATAACCATAGCCAAAATAGTATACTCCACTTCGTAATGGTTGTCGTAGTATGCCAGAATACAAAAAAAAAATAGTATAAATACATCCTCGTAAAAACATACTATCTCCGTCCCAGAGTATTTGTCCACTTTCATTTTTACACACCATCCAATACACTTCTTTAATCCATTTTATCTTGTAATTTGTATATTAAAAAAATATAGAAAATATATATTAATAATCTATATGTTAAGACAAATCAAACAAGATCACACATGACTATATTTAGGCTTACACATTGAGAGAATTTGATGAGTCAAAGTGCTTAGATGAACAGTTCCAAAAGTCAAAACTGGATGAATACTCCGGGACGGAGGGAGTACTATATAGTCGAACGTTTTTATCTAAATTCTTATAGCTGGTACCATTTTGTCTAGTCTCACACTACAAAAATATGTATGTCCATTAAACATGTTGTTCGCAATATAAAAATACTCCGTAATGCTCTATATTGTTAAACGAATGATAATTTATTTACGAAAACCCTATGGGAAGAACAACGAATACATACAATGTGTTTTGTGTGCGATATTATATTGGTTCTTAAATGGAGTGACATTTAAGATGCGTGGAACATCGATCGATACATACAACGAGGAAAACACAAACAATATAAAACATGCACAATCAAGTGTCACGCATATATAGGAAGATAAAAACATTCCAAACAATATAATTGACTCATATGAGGTTATTTATATGATCATTTACCTGTGTGCCCTCAGAAACAATATTGATCGCCTCATTTCGTCGTTTGGGCATGCTTAATAAGCCAATCAATAACCATATCTATATTTACAGAGTCCCTACAAGAGATCATATAGCAACAGACCTCCCTATCCTTTATTGCATCAAGACCCCTGTGACAGATGAAAACAAAAAAAAACTACCAAGAATGATTAAAAACCCGAGGAGCAAATAGAAACCAATGCTCAAAATGCTTACAGTTGATCAGTTAGAGACGGCTTGGAAAGAGCTTCGGATTTGTCAATTTTGTTCCCAAGCACAAGCAGTGGGATGTTGCTCAGCGAAGGTTTTGATAAGAGATCATGAAGTTCGGTTCGAGATATAGGAACACTGTCGCGATCCGCAGCATCGACCACATAACTGTTGAGTACGTGGTAACAATATTCTTTTTGTTACAAGAACAATAGACCCAGTAAAATCACACAAAATGCAGGGCCAAGAAAATGATTTCACATCACTGTTCATATGGTCACCTAATCTCTTTTTTCCTTGCATATTTTCATTGATCGTGGAAATTTTGATGTTGTTTTTGAAAATAACTCCAGTCAAACATTGTAAATCAAATCACGGAAATTATTTTGGGACGGAGGGAGTATTGATTAAGAAAAGAAGCAAACATGGTGGTGCAAAATAAGAGGAAATGTATTTACATAATGGCAGAGACGCCACGACAGTATCGCTCCCACATGGTGCGAAACCTGCGCTGCCCTCCAAGGTCCCAAAGCTTGATAGTTACATTTCCCTTCGTCACTTTGCGCATATTAAATCCAACCTGGTTTTGAAATGAATCCCACTATGAAAACTGGTTCCTAAACTTCAAGATGTGTTACAAGAAGTATACTCTACTACCATTTAGGAAGGAAAAAAAAGACACTTACAGTTGGAATCATGTCCTCGCTGTAGCCCCCATTCTTATGGATTGAATGCCCACAAAAAAACAAAAAAAAAACAAAAAGGTTAACAAAACTATCAGAGCAATAAGGGCATGTTTGGATCACGAAAAATGCTAGGGAAACAAGGTAACAAGCTATGAAGAGTTGATTTCTTATGTTTGGGTTTAAATGCAAATAAAACAATTCAAACCCAATATAGTTCCAACACCCTTAGAATCTGGGATCAAGTGTACACAACCTTGCCCTTTTTTTTCGGTTAGGCGCTTGATGTATCGTTGCATTTACTATCCAACACTTCATAGAAAGTAAGAAGTAGGGGAAATTTTAGAAGCAAAGTAAAATTTAATATGATTTGTTCTTTCCCATATAGTATACAGATTTCTTAGAATTTATATACAATAGATATTTAAAAAAATATAAAGCATCAACCAGTATAATACAAAGTGATAAACATCTAAATAACTAGGACTAAAACATGCTCCATATACCAAGATAAAAAATTCAATGTTCTTATACCAAAATCATCCTTATAATGTCAGATAATGCTAAAATATAATGTCAAAAAACACTGAAATACCAACACGCAATGCCATAATTGCATGCATTTCACAATGCCAACACTTATAAAACACAGGAGGTTTTATTTTGTTATAAGATCAATGTTTTAATCTTATTTAGTAGGTTTCTTTAATAAAAATTCATAGAGTTTTAGCCTTCCTTTAATTTTTCCCTACATTTTCCACTTGTACCTTTGTACATTCCAGATTCTAAACGGTCCCTTCAACAAAATAATGAGATACCAGAGAAAGATCAAACGTGCTTACAGAAATGGAGTTAACTAGAGACGTCTTCCCCGCATTTTGAAGTCCAACAAGAGATAGTTCCATCTCATGTTTAAAGAACAGGCTGGCATTGAGACAACCATTTTAGAAAACACAGATTATGCGGGCGTTTGTCGGAACACGGTGGCAAACAATCAAATTTAAAGATGTTAGAGTATAAATAACTGTTCCTGGGCCACAACCACAAGCTTGAGCTTTTGGTTGAGTTGGTCCCTTGACATGGTATCGGAGCCAAGAGATTCGAAACTCAGCGCCACCCAATTTAAAAAAAATTAAGGTTTCACGTGCAAGGCTCGAAAAAGACTACGCCTGCACGTGAGGGGGCGTGTTAGAGTATAAATAACTGTTCCTGGGCCACAACCACAAGCTTGAGCTTTTGGTTGAGTTGGTCCCTTGACAAAAGAAATGAATGAAATCAAAATTAGTTCCATTGTCACACAAGTCTAAAACCACAATCTGAAAAGGGGGGAAAAAGAGCTCTTTTATAACTATTACCAGATTGTTTCCGCAAAATTACAGAAGAAAAACAGAAACTTATTGAATCAAAAATATGAAAGAGAAGAGAATCGGGAGAGAAGGGATCACCTGCGAAGCCAATTGAGGAAAGACTCCCAAAATCCCATCACAGAGAAAAATGAGAGCTTTGAATATGCGGTGGAATGAATGGATGAAACCCTTCCCTTTTTTCTGGCTTAAGAAGCTTCGCCGGCGGCTAAATTTATGAAAACTCGACGGATTCTAAGCTTCGCCGGCTTAACTCTTAAAAGCTTCGCCCGCTTACTTTTAACTAAACGAAGTACGGAGGATTAGAGTTTGAGTAGGGTTTGAAACTACGGAGTAGTTTGGAAGAATGTCCTAATTCAAATTTTTTACACAAATACGGAGTAGTTTTATTTTATTTACAAATAAAAGTGCAATATATACAAACACTAGTATTTAACCCGTGCAACGCACGGGTCGAACGCATATTGTTTTTAACTCTGTTAAATTTTTAGTTTTAGTAAATGATTAAAAATATAGCTAAATATAATATACAATGTTAGAAGTTTAATGATGATATGACATAAACAGAGTATGTTAACACATTTTTTGTGCAATTGCAAGGGTTACCGTTGTCATCTAAAACTAACACTTTTAATCATTTCTTATTTTTCACTCGTGAAATTGCAACATAAAGTTGACGGTGAGTGAATACCGATTTGGTCAAGAATAATCTAACAAATGATAGTGTTTGGCCTTGACTCTTATTGATAATCATGCCAAAACATTAAGTTATTAGAAATTGTCTTCTTTGAAACTTAAACGGTAATCCAGGATCTGACGGTGCCAAATTCATTCATGGTATGTAAACTTTCTCCCGACATTATTTCCCGATACAACAATTGCACCGATAACATTCCTTCGCAACTTTTCAACTATTAACCTTGTACCATTACACAACCCAGATATTTGATCAATGTTTCTTAATAACTTAATTGGTACTCCTTCAAAACAATTCAGTGGTTTGAAATCCCAGAACACTTGATAACGTTAAAAAACTCAGTTGTTATCCAATCACCATCTATTACTACATCTGAATCTGTTTGGCATGAACAATTAGAGCTCAAATATTTCTTTTTATCTCTAGGAATAAGAGACAAAACAAAACCATTGATCATTTCAACAACTTCAAGTGTGAGTGCTAATAAAGCCCTATCCATAAAAAAGTATAATCTTTCATATTTTCTAATAAGTCTATATACGTGAATTCCATTATACTCTTAAGTTGAGAACTTGAGTTCAGGATCAAGGATTCAGATGGAATTTCAATTTCACCAATTCCATCATTAACCACGCCAAGCTGTCCATCTCCAATCTTGATTATCCACTCTGGAAAAAAGTTGTGTGTCACTGTTAGTGTGGCAGCAATGTAAATACTTTTCAATATGACCACAAACTCGATGAAAAAAATTGGTCATAAAAAATGATTTCAGATCATTATGTTTATTTTAACTCGTGCTCTTATGAATCGTTAGACATCTGCGATTAAAGCAGCAGGTATGCTAAAATGCTTCGTCCTTTACTCGTTAGAAATTGACTCATGGCAAAAGAACATTGAAGGCTAAAGTACTCAAATAGAATAACTCAAGGCTAAACATTCATTCAAAGCTTAAAATATTAAGATTGAATAAACTAATGGCTTCAATGCTTAAAGGGAGGCTTCCGTATTTCTATATCCATATTATCCATTATTAACAAAGACGTTAAAAGTTGATTCACTCACGATTGAAATCCAAATAAAGCAACACTGAAAATTCAATTTGTTCAAAATTGAATTACAGAGGAAGAAATCAAAAGAGAAGATGAACACAATCCAAAACTTCATCCATTTCAAGGTTGTCTTTAATTAGTTAACAGCAAGGGGGTATGTAAAGATCTAAGAAAAGAAAAATGAATCAAAAAGAAGTTTCAAATCAATACCCGTTGACATTTTGCAAATTCTGCTACTTCGTAGCTTTCAATATGTGGTCTTTCCTTCCACCGCATCGTTTTATATATATAGTTGTGGAAATTTCAAGCGATTTCAACTCCAACCTTGCCACCTTTTCCTATCTTTCTATGAGTAAAAAGATAAACAAACTTGAATTGTTGCATGAATAATAAATGTTGAAATTAAGGAAGAATACACAGAGATATTTTAATACATTTGATTGAGTTTTTGGAACAAACCAATTTCAAATGAATCTTCTCCAAATTTGGCAAATCTTCTCTAGATTCTACCCCTGGGATGCACGGTAAGAATACTATACAAAGTAATAGTAATCAATGTAATATATAAATAACATACAATCACACACGTTACTACACAATAATACAGTGAGAATGAAAGCATATCTAATTTTATACTTCTAATAAGCCCTCGCCTCTCAAAATACTATTAGTAAAACCCAAATCACATGATCATTAGCTGAAACCTTATATCAGTAAATCAAAACAAAAATCAGATGAAGTCTTAAAAGGAAAATAAAATGGCATCAAACTCTCATTATAGTTATTAGAGAGTCTAGACCATAGGTGAGAAAGCACAAATTTTCGTTTTGCTTCTCGTTAAAAGAAAATATGTTATTTAAAGAAATTGATGTTCAAAGAATTTACCTTGATGATGCAACTTGGGAAAAACATTGAGTTAGAGACCCTTGTGTTTTGCCTAGGTTTGAAGGTCACCATTTCAAAAAAGACTCATCAAGAGTCAAACCATGTCAATCTCATTTAGCATATTACGGAGTATAAAACTGAAAATCTATATGCAGTTTTAGTATGTAATGTTGCTATTTTAGAATTGATGCAGTTGAAATCTAAAATGAATAATACCCTATATAAATGCCAGTTATCAGTGTTACCTCCATTGTTGCTGTAAAATTTGATATCGTAGGCAGGGCCATAATGCTCTTGAACCCATCAAATAGGCACTGCAAGAGGTGCTAACAATCTACACCAAAACCAATTAAAAAACAAAAAAACCCTAAATACAAAAAATAGAGTAATTATTATAGGCATATACATCTATTGCATAAAAGAACATCTTCAGAAATTGTGTACATATTGATATTTACACGATTTATCAATCTAATGTTAAAAATCATACAAAATGAAAGTTTAGTATATTCTTTGTATATGAAAGCAACTTAAACATTGATTCAAAAAAGGCCACAATAAGTTACTACAAATTAAACCTTGATATGAAAATATTTTCTGATTAAATTTACTTTTGTCAAATTATTTCTCTTTGTAAGTGCAAGCATGTCAATATCCCAAAAACAGATCAAAATAAAATTAAAAACTAAAAAAATATACACTTTAGAAAAATCGGTCTCAACACCATTTAATAAATAGAATAATCCTTTGTTCTCTCATACCTTGCCAATAGACTTTCCATACCACGAAGGCAAAACAAACAAATCATTACATTTTTTTAATAAACAAAACACAGAATTACAGGGGAGATAAAAAAATCCTAAGCTTAAGAGTGAGATTTATCACCTTAGAAGACTTTAAAGCTTAAAGAAATTGAAGTTTTGTGGGAACCTGACCCACCTTCGAGCTTTGATATATCCAGGCTTGTTTATGGCATTTGTTGGGTGAAATAGGATAACCTCACAACTATTGATTGAAGTATGCCTATTAGAGAAACGAAGCAGTGTGAAATGTTACCTAGACTCTCCTTCTCATTGAGGTAATTTGTCGAACACATATTGAGCATTGCTTAAGTAATCTAGATTGCAAAACAACTCCACTTTTGAAGTAAAAAATCAGACTTATGGTTAAGTAAGTCTATAAAATGAAAGATAAAAAAGAAAAAGACATGTAGCTACTGATTTTGCAGGGCCAAAAAAATTTAAAATAAAAGCACAATTGACTAAGAAAATTAATCAAAGAGCATTTGGTCACCCATACGAATTAAGCAAAAGAAAAATGGAAGAATTTCAAATTAAAAATGGATTGAGAATCGCGGATGAATGACAATTAAATATGAATTTTTTTAAATAAATTTTTTTTTGCTAACACACTGACCCGTATGATTTGATTTCTTTCTCATAGACGAAAAATTAAAATAATTCTTTGGAGAGAAAGTAATATAAATCCCAGATTTAGTTCGATTAAACACATACATAAATACAAAAAAGAATCAATAATTCGAAACATACCTAATTTGGAGATCCCTGTTTTGGACTGCACCGATAGATCCGCGACACGATGAAGAAGGAAGTTTCTATTTTAATCTCCCCGAATCCTTGAATAGTTGTATGAAATCTGGAAGTTCATGTGTTCCTTCCTTCTTCGCCCAATTGCAGAAAGGAAACCTAGGAATTTTCTTCGGTGAAGGAAGATGGCCGAACGGCTGGTCTCTAGAGTATTGACGCGTGGAAGGCTGATGTGTCAAAAAAATAGTACTCTAAAACTGCCACGTGTCAAAATTCTAAGCTATCAACTCTCAAATATTATATTAAAGGATTTTTTAAAAAAAGTACATTATATTATGATGCCCGGAGTATAAATTTAATATCAAGTATGTTGTAAATCGTGGAAACTAGGGTACCGTCGATCGCCAAAATCACAAAATGCCTCCTCTCTAAAACCTATATACTCGTGCATTTATTTACAACTTCTTTTATAAGTGTAGCAAAATTATAAAAAGTTATACTACCTCCGTCCCAGAGTATTTGTCCACTTTCATTTTTACACACCATCCAATACACTTCTTTAATCCATTCTTGTAATTTGTATATTAAAAAATTATAGAAATTATATTTTAATAATCTATATGTTAAGATCAATCAAACAAATCATACATGACTATATTTAGGCTTACACATTGAGAGAATTTGATGAGTCAAAGTGCTTAGATGAACAATTCCAAAAGTCAAAACTGAACGAATACTCCGGGACGGAGGGAGTATTTTCTACCACACTTAGGACCTATTCTTTAGGACTATAAAAAAAGAGCTGGATGTTGGAAGAAACTGGAAAAAACTGAAAGGAACTAGAACAAACTGGAAAAAACTGGAAGGAACTGGAAGAACTGGAAAGAACTGGAAGGAACTAGAAGAAACTGGAAGAAACTGGAAAAAACTGGAATGAACTGGAAAAAATTGGAAAACCTAAAAATCTTTAAAAATATTTATTTTAAATTCTTGTTGTTATAAATTATTATTATTATTATTATTATTATTATTATCATCATCATCATTATCATCATCATCATCATAATCATCATCATAATCATCATCATCATCACATTATCTTAGTGAATGTCTTTAAGATATAAAAAAAAGTATTTTTAATTTTTAAATACAAAAAACTACTTTTACAAAAAATAATTATAATATAAAGTTAGCATAAATTTAAAAATATTAAATTTTAAAAAGGCTGTGTAGTTATATTGCACCTCAATTTATTTATGCAGTATTTATTATAAATAATATATTTGTAATTATAATTTATATATTAAAACATTTTGTTTTAAATATCATACATGTCACATAATCAAACCTATTGTTTCTTTCATGATTGACATTTTATTTTCATTGAATTCTTATTTTTGGAATAAAGACAGAACTTTTTTGCTTACATTTTTTATGTTTTACTCATATTTTAGTTTTTTCTCTAAGATCTTTTGATTTACAATTTTTTTTTATAAAAATTAGAAAAATGAGCAATTTTTTAAGTAATAAAGGGAAAACTGAGATGTCTTATAAAAGTTATATTACTAAAAATTCAATGTAACTATCATATCCATAATTTTTTAGTATAATTTTACATATTGATGTTTTCCTGTTTTATCATGTTGACTAATATACAAAAAAATGTCTTATTCATATTAAAAAGTTGAAGAAAAAAATAATAAATGTGAATCGTAAAAATAGTGAGATGAAAAAAATAATTTATAAACTATAGTTATGAATATAACAGTTGTAATAATAATAATAATAATGATAATAATAATAATAATGATAATAATAATAATAATAATAATCACATTGAAATATATCATTTTTAGAGTAATTGGTTGAGGAATAGAAAGAATTTAAAGAAAATGAGAAAAGTTGGAAGAAACTGGAAGGAACTGGAAGGAACGGGAAGAAACTGGAAGGAAGTAGAAGAAGCTGGAAGTAAAGAGTTCAAGCCCTAAAGAACAGGTTCTAAATATTCCAATAACTTTTTATTAATATATTTATCGAATATTATTTTTCAAATAAATAAATATATAATTAAAATATTAATGATTAAAGTATTACATTAAAATTTTAAAAGTCAAATGAAAATTATTTCAAGGAAATATTAATTAAGAGATTTTAAATGTGGTATGTTTATGGTCATGAACGCATGTGGCGATATTACAAAATTGGGTTATTAATACGGGGCATTTAATTAAGAAATATTTGCACTAAATAGCACTAAAACTTAAGTCATTTTCGTAAATAGCACTTAAACTGTTTTATTCCCTAAATAGCACTTAATAATGTCCATAATGTCCAATTATGGTGAATATTTGCTTGAATAATGACTAATGCATAATGACTAAAAGTGCTACATTAGGAAGAAAAACACATGTGGTGCTATTTAGGAAAAGTCATTATGTTTTAGTGCTATTTGAGTAAATTCCTCTTTAATTAATTACCAAGTTAAGAAGTACATGGGAAATAGGAAATAAAATAATAGGAAAAATTTAGAGGCCAGGGAAGATCAATTAAATTTGGCGTGGAATCATTAGAGAAGTAATATTATATAAGGAAATGCATGCTGCCATATTTAGTTAAACCTCATAAGTAATTATTGTATGTTATAATTAGTTTACTTACGGAGTACTTGCCAAAACTCTTATGGATCCTCACTACCACACCCCTATATAGGCTATATATATACGCCAATATTGCTAACTCAAAAATTTAATACAAACTCTTTTTTAATTGGTGTGAGATAATAATAATAATAATAATAATAATAATAATAATAATAATAATAATAATAATGGCCGATCAGCAACGAAGCGGTGGAAGTCATGACTATCAACAACCGCCGCCGCGTCCAGGTGTACCGGATTTAAACTACCCCGCTCCTCGAACCGGCCCTGCCGCAGAACAACGCTGCCCAAGATTTTCTGAGCGGTACCAATTTCAGGAGGGACCTGATGGGAAAACACAAAAAAGTGTCATCTACACCTACCAGCCTCGCAGCGATTATCCCGAGCACTTCAGGAATAATTAATTATGACCGAGTATAAGTAATATAATTGTCGGGTTATTTACTTAGGACTTTAATTAAGTCCTCTAGCTAGTTATTAATTATTTGATGATATAGAGTACGAAAAAGGTTTTTTTTTTTAGTATTTGCTTCTGCCTCCTTTTGTTTTAGACTTTAGTCAATTTTGAGATTCCATATGGGTTAGCATAGATAAGTAGAGGTATTATATAGATTGATTTTGTTACTTCCAATGCTCAAGTAGTATTTGTTGTTGATCTTTAATTTCTTGCTTATATTGTTCTAAAAAACAAAAAAAAATTCTAAAACATAAGAATTAAAAACAGTAAAAATTTATATACAAACTGAACGAGTTGTATTAAACAAGTGTGGAATAAATGCGGAAAAAATCAAATTGGACAAATACACTGGGACGGAGGGAGTATATACTTCATATATTTTTATAATTTATAGTCAATGTTTGTAAAATTTGACAAAAAAGTTATATCAAATATAAAAAAAATTGTGGAGTAACATTGTGTATAAACGCCAAATCTAGGTAGGAGTATTAATGTGATCTTTTTTCCAAAAACACGGATAAACGACACAATCTTTGGTATATTAACAAATAAGAAAAAACAATCAAAAATTAATATTGAATCAATGATTTCATTATATCAGAGTTTGATGTTGGAAGAAACTACAAAGCGTTGAAAAAATGAGAGTTGGGAAATTTTAGAAATATTAACCAAAAAAATATGTAACCAAAACTAATAATAAGTTTTTTACCCTTAAACTCTTAACTTTTTTTAAAAAGATTATTCTTGTTTGTTGAAATGTCTTAGATTTTTCAAGTTTTTTAGTTCCTTGTAGTTTTTTGAGAGTCTATTCGGGTTCCTTTTGTTTTTTCTAGTATCTTCTAATTTTTTAAAAACATTTCCATTTTATTCAACTATTCTAATTAAAAATGATGTGTTTTTCATATGATTATTATTAGTATTGTTGTTATTATTATTATTATAATTATTTTCATTATTATTATTATTATTACTATTATTATTATCATTACTCTTATTATTTATCAATATTTTAAATGTATGTTTATGTTTTTTTATTTTTTGTTTATTATTATTATTATTATATTTATTTTATATTATTTTATTTTAAAATTTATTTGTAATGATATGATGGAGAAAATTTTGATAAAAGAATAGGAAGAAGAGTGGAGGGATTGAGGGAATGAAAACCCCTCCTATTTAAAGGGTAGCAGAGGGTTTTTTTTATAAATCAAATATTACTTCCAAAAAGTCCCTTAAGAATAGTATCAAATATTACTTTTTGGGGTAAAATTATATTCTTCCAGTTTTGACTTTCACATCTAAACTGGATAAATTTTTATCATAAATTTTAAAATTGATACTGAGCATTATATTAGATATTGAAAAACAATACTTTGTTGGATTTGTTTTATAATATATTTTTAAAATATTGTTTTATCTAAATAATTAATATGTAAGTATCTTGATCTCAATTTCATACTAATATAATATTGACTGCTTTGAT